CAGATAACAGAATTGCTTTGATAGAACATCTTCAATAACTATATATTTAAATAAATAACTACTCGATAACTACTAGAACTTATGAGTGAATGCAGCAGGTTCTCAGGATACAAGTTCAAAATACAAAAATTATATTGTATTTTTATATAAAAATAAATATATAAAAAATAAAAATTAAAAAATATAATAAAATTATATTGTATTTTTATATATAGCCAAGGCCAGATAATTAGAAGATGAAATTTTTAAAAACACACATTTATATTAGCATAAAAAAACAAAATACTTCAGAACAAATTTTCCAAAATACGATACCTCTATACTGAAAAAGCTACAAAATATTGCTGAGAGAAATTAAAGAAGACTTAAGTCAATGGAGACAATTGCTCATGGATTGGAAGATGCAGTATTGTTAAGATGGCAATTCTTTCCAAAATAATCTACAGATTCAAAGAAATCCTAATCATAACTCTACCATGAGTTTCTTTAAAACAGAAATTGGCAACTTTATTCTAAAATTTATGTGGAAATGAAAAGGACTTAAAAATACTTCTAAAGTAGTACTCTAACAGAACTTTGTGCAATGATGAGAGTATTTTATATCTGCATTATTCAGTGTGGTAACTAGCCATGTGTAACATTTGAGCACTTGAAAGGTAGCTATTGTGACAGAAGATCTGATCATTTAATTTTTAAAAAATTTTAATGCAATTAATTAACATATAGTATATTATTAGTTTCAGAGGTAGAGTTCAGTGATTCATCAGTTGCATATAACACCCAGTGCTCATTACATCATGTGCTCTCCTTACACCCATCACCCAGAACCCCATCCTCCTACCCACCTCCTCTCCAGCAACCCTCAGTATGTTTCCTGTAGTTAAGAGTGCTTTATAGGGAGTGCCTGGGTGGCACAATTGATAGTGTCAGCCTTTGGCTTGGATCCTGATCTCAGGGTTCTGACCTCAGGGTCCAATCTCAGAGTCCTGGAATCAGGCCCCACACTGGGCTTCCTGCTTAGTGAAGTGTCTGCTACTCCCTCTCCTCTCCTTCTCTCTTTCTCTCTCCCTCTCCCTCAGCCCCAGCCTCCTCTTCGTGCTCTCTCTTTCGTTCTTTATCTCTCTCTCTCTCAAGTAAGTAATTTATTTTAATTTAATATGAATGTAAATACTCACATGTAGCTAATGGCTATTATACGGAATAATGGAGAAGGAAACCCTTAAAAAGCAGGGGACTTACACTACATAGCTTTGAAATTTAGTATAAATCTACAATAATTAAAACACTGTATGACTGGCATAAAAGAGGCAAACAGATCAATGGAACAGAATAGAAAGCCTAGAAATCAATCCACATTTGTAAGATCTTTTGATTTTTGACAAAAGTACTAAAGCAATCCAACGGGAAAATGAAAGCTTTTTAACTAATAAGGCTGGCAAAACTGGATATCCATATGAAAGAAAATGAACCCCTAACTCCATCTCATACTATACCCATACAAAAAAATTTCAAAATGGATCATAGACCTAAAAATAAATGAAAATACTCTAAAGCTTCTAAAAGTAAATACAGAAGAATATTTTTACAACTTGGGTGTAAGCAAAGATGTCTTGGGTCATAGAAAGTAATCAGAAGGAAAAAAATGATAAATTAGACTTAATTAAAAGTTCAACTTTCTCATCCAAAAAAAAGTCTAAGAAAATGCAAAGGCAAACCACAGACTTCAAGAAAATATTTGCAATACATATTTCTGACAAGGGACTTATTTCCAGCATAGAGATCTCCTACAACTCAATTTAAAAAAAAAAAACAATTTAGAAGTGGTAAAAGATATGAATAGATTTTTCACAAAGAAGATATACAAACAGCTAATAAGCCAAACGCAGTCTTCAGAGAAATGCAGATTAAAACCAAAATGAGATACTACTACACATCTACCAGCATGGCTATAATTAGAAAGATTGAAAACCCCTAATGTTCACTAGGATGTGGAGCAACTGGAACTCTCATACTTTATTGGAAGTGTAAATTTATACATTTTGGAAAAAGATCTGGTAGTTTCCTCTACAGCTGAACTTATACCTACCACATGACCCAGTAATTCCATTCTTAGGCATTTACCACAAAGAAGTGAAAGCACATGTTCACAAAAAGATTTTATAAGAATATTTATAGAAAATGTGCATCAAGAGAAGAAACTGTCATAGAAACGATCTCATGTAATTATACAGTGAAATCAGTGTGATTAACTGTCCTGGTTTCTTTGGGGCTGAGAAGTTTTCTGGGATGTGGGACTTTCAGTGCTAAAACTAGGAAACTCTTGAGCAAACCAGAAGGAGTTGGTCATTCTAATTATCTACCTCGGCAATAGAAAGACCAAACTACTGAAACATCCGACAACATGGATGAAGCAGAAAACACGCTGAGTGAAACCACAAGAGTTCATATTCTCTGGTCCCATTTATATGAAGTTCAGAACTAAGTTGTGGTAAAAACAGAAGCAGAAGAGTATACATTTCTGAGGTTTTGGGTGATGGGAAAGGGTGTGAGGAACTTTCTAGAGTGATGATAATATTCTCTGCTTTGGTAGAGATTTGGTTATACTGGTATACACATTTATCAAAACTCAGTGAATGGTAAGTTGAAGTTTCTGCATATCTGTATTTAAAAATACCTGTAAACAAATACTGAACTATAGTCAATGACATGCATACCAATGTGTTAATAATATGCATCCTGGAGTGAGGTGTAACTCTTCCCTTGTCTGGAATGGAATTACTGAAAAAGTGGTGTAGGTGTCAGAGATGGAGGATGGGAGAAAGATACCTTGAGGATTGCTCCTGAGTAGAATTGCCTATTATGACTCTATTCATTTTAGGAAGATTTTCTTTAACTTTTTGACAACAGCTTCCTTGTTTTGTTTTGTTTTGTAATCCTGTGCTTTGCTTGAACAATCTTAATGTGTTTTCTAAATTAGTGGGCTTCTTTCATTGTTATATGTATGTAATCTAGCTGTAATTTTGTTTTATTTTATTAATAGCCTCAGTGTTATTGATTCTTTGCTCTTTTCTCACTTTTTTAGTTTTTATAGTATTTACAGGTATAAGCAGAGTCTTTCCCTATTATGTCTTTTTAGCAGTCATTTTATTTCTTTGTAAAGTTACTTATGATTATTTTAAAGGAATGGTAATGCTTACAGCATTCTAACTTCTTGTTACCTAATGTTTCTTTAATAATATAGTACTTTTAAAATTGGATCTGGATTGGTTTTAGATTAGCTTTTTTATTAACAACTTTTTTGAGGATTCACAAAAATAAAAATGCACACTGTAGAAAATTATAGCCTTGACTTTAGAAAATTTTAGTCTTGCTAGGGTTTATTTATTGTCACATATACTTTTTGTTATGGTAGTGAGTAAGCTCAAAAAAGGTACTCTTTCAACATCTTTCAAGGTATCTTTTATCTTTTAGTTCTTCTTATGTACCTCTAAAATGTGGTGTTCTTATAAAGAAATCAGTTATAATAATCCTCTTAATCCTACCAAACCCATCACACTCTTCTAAGTATTTTTAATAAACTCTTTCTATCCTGCAATTAACAAATTATTAATCTGCCTACAAACATAACTTCAAAAATTCAACATAATTACCCATAATATAAAGAGGAAATAAAAGGAAAGTAATTAACAAATATTTCAATATGTAAATTTTGGGACATGATGTACTAGTCAGAGGCTTGTTATCTATACATAGAAACTGAATGGGAAACTGAATGGGACAACTATAAATACAGATTGTTACAGGGGTATTGTGTTGGTGCCTTACATACCACACACAGTATTGTTGTCAGTTTCATGATTTTCTGAAATATTTGACCATTCTTGATAAAGTTCTGAACAAAACAAAGGAAAAGTTCCCTCAGTTTACATGATATATATGTGTCTGGAAATGTTGGCATCTATTTAAACTATGCAAACATAAATATTATTTATATATAAAACAATTAGGTTTTGTCTCAGATCATTACAAACGGGTTTTTTAGGTCTTCATGAATATCTAAGAGGATACTGGAAAGTTATGATGGTCGGAAAGGAATTCTCTCATGTGGAGAACTCTCCTGAGGATTACTGATCATCTAGCATCCCCCACCCTTGTGCGCTAAATGCCATCATTGTGACAACCAGAACATAAGCTTTCGAAACACCACATTGGTGATTTTTGCAATGGGGCTCTTTGGCAATTGTGTCACCTGTCCGAATAATGTTTTTAATGTTTAAGATAAATAGGATTACCAAGGAAACCAATTGTTGAAATACAAACCCCAGGTTACAAATCCCTGTAAAAAAGATGATACTACACTTTTCTCCAGTACATATACTTCAATAGAATGTGAGTACTAAATTGTGAGTGAGTACTAAATTGTATGGTTTTCTATCTGGTGAAACAATTGAATCCTTGGTATTAAAATATTATGGATTTGAACATGCATTTGAGTGCCTATATCATTTTGTTCTCAACATAATGACGTCATTAAGGGACTAACATCAACTCTTTAATAGAAAGAAGCAAATAACATAGGAGCTTATTTCTATTCTAATTTTGTACCTCATTAGAAATTAAGTGTATGAAATGAAATAATGCTTCTATTTCCCATTCTTTTCTTATTATGACTAAACTACTTCCCTCATTAGTATCAATTTTGCCAACTTATTTGCTCATATATTACTTAAGGGAGTAAGATAACCTTGGCAGGACAAAATCTCCCTCCAGCTGCCATTAGGAAAGTTGACAAATTACTTATTTGTATTAATAGGGTAGTTTAAACACAAATGATTCCAAGAATAGGCATTGTAAAGCAAGATAATCAAGAGTTTATTTCAATAGGTGCTCACTCAGTATTTTCTAAGAGTGTATTGCAAGAGGTGACTGTGTTGTATCTGGATAACAGTTTGTCATGACAAATGTGCAGTGTCATGATGATGAGTTTTTATCTCTTCTAGGGTATGTCTCTGTGCCAGACTGTTGTCGTAGGCTCTGTAGTCATTCTTCTCTACTCTTCAAGAGCATGTTATAATTTAGTGGTGATCACCATATCTCAGGATACATTAGAAAGTCCATTTAATTATGGCTGGGATAATCTTTCAGATAAGGTAAGTAGCTAACATGTATTGCTAATCAAATAATATAATAATAAAATTAGCCTTAACTAAGAAAACATTTTAAGTGTTTGACTTACAAACACTTATCTCCAGCTACTAACAGTAATCATAAAGTTCTGTGCTCAAAAATCCTCATTTACATGTGTCACTTAAAATCATTCTTCAGAGAGAACTTCTCCCAAAGGAGTATTTTCTTTCTTTTTTTTTTGTAGATGATACTAATATTTCCATAAACCTATTGGTCATAAACCTATTTTACTAATTTTTCAAGGATAGTGTTTAAATATCTCTAGATAGGGGCGCTTGGGTAGCTCAGTGGTTGAGTGCCTTTGGCTCAGGGCCTGGTCCCGAGGTCCTGGGACCAACTCCCGCATCAGGCTGCCTGCGGGGAGCCTGCTTCTCCCTCTGCCTATGCCTCTCTCTCTATGTCTCTTATGAATAAATAAATAAAATAAAAATATCTCTAGATAGATTGCCTGTCATTAGCTAGTGAATATGGGTATGTTTTTAATTTGTGAGGATGGAGTTTATTCTCTCAAACCCGAGACCTACATATAACCTAAATATTTGGTTCGGTTTTAGATATTTAAGGGATTTTTATGAAAATTGGATATTATCAGTCATGATAATGGGAGCATTCATAGCTCCTTGTGTATCCAGCTGTTTGCTGTAGTAATTCCCAGTGTTCTACTTCCCAGCATTCTCCATCCCCTTCCTAAGAAGTGCAATTTGACATAGCTACGCGTCATGTCTTTGTATTAAACTTTGTACTGACTTTAAGGCCTTCTGGAATATCGTTTTATCAGAATTTCAGTTACCTTTCTAAAGAAAACAGATTTTTTCCCCTTCTCCAAGGAAAGGAATTTTCTTATGTAGTTCCAGGTAGCAGATTCTTTTCGCTCCTTTTGCCATTTCTCTCTCCCAACATCTAGTAGAATAAAAGCAAATTCAATATGAAGTTGAGGCCCAAAAGCATATGTTTAAATAACAGCAAGCTGAGCAACTTAACATGTGTCATTTCTCTACAGATGTAACTCAGTAAATGCTATGTAGTATGTTACCTATGTAGTAGCTAGAACCAGTAGTTTCTTTTTAACTCTCTTCAGACTATGCAGCCTAAAAATGAGATCACTCCAACTTATTGATATATTAAAATATTTTCATAAATTGATGGATTGAAAAAGTTAATAGCTTTTTATTCTATTTAACATCAAAGCATTTTATGTCCTTTAAAGGATATGAAACCACTAAATATGGAAAATGAATTTAGAGATTTATGTGCCTATAGTTAATGTGTTTTACCTTACCTTACCTGAGGCAAATTAATTGTGGCAGGTGACTGCTTATACATAAAACAGATTTAAAAATTGCTCTATCATACTCTGTTTACAGGCTCATATAGAAGACATAAGTGGAGAAGAGTATATAGTATTTGGAATGGTCCTCTTTCTATGGGAACATGTGCCAGCATGGTCAGTGGTACTCTTTTTCCGGGCGCAGAGATTAAACCAGAATTTGGTATGATATCATAATATTCCCCAGTGCCTGTTTCCCTTATTTTTAAAAATAATGGAACATTAAAAAAATAATAATAATGGAACATTTATGTCGATTTTCTCTTTTGGGGAAAGTTTAAGACTAAAAAGCATTATAGATGTCAGCCTCCTTTCTTAAAAAGTAAATCTTCATATGTTTTCTAATACTTTGTTCACAGGCACCTGCTGGCATGATAAATAGTCACAATTATAGTTCCAGAGCTTACTTTTTCGACAATCCAAGACGATACGATAGTGATGATGACTTGCCAAGACTGGGAAGTTCAAGAGAAGGAAGGTAGATATACTAGATTAGTACTGAATAGATTGAAAAGAACAAATGTAAGCTTTAACCCAAATATGAAAAAAGGGGATTTGGTGACAAATGTCAATAAATAAGATCACTTAAACTGGATTTTAGAAAAGTAGATGTTACATCCATAGTGGGGACCTGTACTATAAAGAATTATCATCTAACTCTAAGCCTATGCATTACCTTTATTTGAGAAATACATTTGGGCGTAAAATGGTACCATCTTATTTCAGAATTCCATGTTTGTTCAAAGCTGGCCGAGCTTGGTGAGCAGGGAAGGAATACAATTAGCATGATTATGTTTCCTTATCTATAGTGCTATTCAAAACCCACTGAGAAACCCTACATGAAACTCTGGGGAAGCTGAGGTGCCACAGGAAAACTTATGTCCTTCTTACTCTAAAACCATTCTCAGTTCATCTGGACAGTTACTTAGCCACCTTTTTTAGCCTGTTTTTCACTTGTAAAATAGTGGTAATAGAATTTATCTAATAGGATTGTTGTGAAGTTTAAATAGGTTTGTGAAGATTATACACACACACACACACACACAAACATGTCTTAGAATACAACCCAGTCCTTAATAAGCACTATATTATTATCTGATAATCAAGTTCTAAGTCCCGATGTATTTATTCTTCTGTACTATGTCATATAAAATCAAGGATATTAAAATCATTACATTTTGTAGAAAGCTATTGTGTTATTTGGCAAAGAATGTATTTCAATATATTTGATATAACTGTATTATAAAAGTCACTGAACACTAAACATGTCAATGTGACCTATATCCTGTTCACAATCCTGTGGCTTTTTTGCCTTTTTTGTTGCAGTTTACCAAATTCACAAGGTTTGGGCTGGTATGGCACCATGACTGGGTGTGGCAACAACAGTTACACAGTCTCTCCCCACCTGAATGGACCTGTGACAGACACTGCTCCTTTGCTCTTTACTTGTAGCAATTTAGATATGAGCAATCACCATAGCTTGTATGTAACACCACAAAACTGAAAGCATTACCAAGCCATGATTCTTCCATTGTTTTTCATGAACGTGTGTATTCAATGTGTTTAAATTCCATCTACATAAACATTCCATTATCTGTTGCAACTGAAAACAAAGCCTGGAAATGTGGCTGTGTTCAGCAGAGGACACACTTGTTACTTTTGACCTTTTCATAGCAAAATGAAGTAAAATGGGAAGTTTGGAGTAGAAGAAAAGGATTGATGGCTGCAAACATCCTGACTTTGAAACATCAAATGCGTATTTGCATATTTGCACTTTTATCTTTGTTCTGAAAGAGTACACTGCAGTCCCCAAAGTCACACTCCAGTGTTCACACTGGGATACTATATTGTACACCTAATTAGGAGGCAATTTTCCTATGAAAAATCAAAGCCTGTATATTCAGTGGTATATTCTATGTAGAATTCCTACCCAATAAAAATTTTAGTGTGAACAGTGCACAGGATTAAGGTTAACAATGTATCATTCTTTTTTAAAATCTAAAAAACGTGTAATCATTGACGATAGTTCTTTTAAGCATGATTGTAAGATACCAACTGAAATTATTCAGTCATTTTTAAAAGACCACAGTAATCCTTTACAGTGATGACCAGCAGTGTTCTTTGGAAAGCCACAGCCATTTCTACAAGAAGAAAGTATACCAGTGAAAATTATGTGGCTACTTTGAGTAGAATTGGTCAAGTGATTATTTCATCTGATTAAGATATCTGTAGTAGTTTAAGCATGATTCTTCAAGAAAGCAATAGTGATTTTTGCATAGGGAGATTTTGGTAGAAACTTCTTGGGACTAAACAAGTTTACAGATGCATTTAAGAATTATTCATAAAATGTACAATTCTAAGTTAAAACATAAATACATTTTCAAAAGCATTGGATTTAGCTGAACAAGATATAGCTGATTGTACCTATTGAATCAGGATTGTCCTCAGGTAAATTAAATCATGATACATTATGGCAGTAAACTCAAGTGCAATACTTTGTAAGACATATAATTCCTCCTTTAGTTTTCCCATTTTTATATCTTATATATGGGCAAAGCCAGATGAAATTTAATTCAAATTAATTCCAGCACTAAATAAGCAAATTGTTGTAAAGGTACTAAATAGGTAAGTATAAATCCACTGTTTAACAATATTGGAATACTTCTAGAATTATATTAAAACTGTCTTGAATGTCCTATCCCAAATCTAAAATATATATATATATATATATATATATATGGTAGGCTAAGGTAATAAAGGATCTTCAAATGCACTTTCTACCAGTGTCTATATGGAAAGAAGTAGATGCTGAATACCTCAAGATGCCAAGGAAACAGGCAACATTGGGAAGTTGTCACAACATCCTTAAAGATGAGTAGCTACTTAAAATTGTCTGCTGACCTATTTCTTCAGAACTGAACTAATACAACTGTCCTTTTCTGTCTTCTACTTTGATTAGAATGTTTTATTTCTACTCTTAAAATACCTTTCAATGAAAAAAATACCATTCAATGTTTTAATAATTGCTTATTTAGTAACCTCACACAAGCGTAACAGAAACAAATGAAATTTTAAATATTTTTGGTCTTTTGAGAGGCTGGTTCACAGCCAAAGAAATTCCATCTTTTTATCATACAAAATGACTTTGAACTCCATCAGAAGCATAAACCTATGGTTATAAATGTTACTTTGGGTTTGTTACTAAGTTCTCTCATTATAACCAAATTACAGAAGTTAACCTTGATATTTACGTGACAAGGTAACATGCACTTAACTGAGTATATTTTGAGGACAACTTCAGTTATTAGATCTTTTTAGAATGCCAACTATTTATTTTCCTAATAATGTTGGGTATCTACCTAGAACTATCTGAAAAGATGTATTATCTCTGTGAATCCTTGGGGTTCAAAGTAAATAAGGTAAATTTTTTCTAAGGCCTTCCTAGGTAGCGTTCCTATTTGACCAGATAAGCAAAGATTACTTTTTTAAAAAAAGATTCCAAGTAAAATATCTTGGTTCTTTCAACTGCATTAGTTGATTCTTCCAAATTTCAGATTTGTATATTTATTCTTATCACTGACTAGGGTACCTGAATTCTTGCATTTGTCTCCTTATACACATCTCCCACAATACATCACCAAAGAGAAAGATAAGCTTCTGGCCCAATATTTGCTTAAAAATTCCAAAGCACTAGAAGCACTTTAAGTTTGGTCTCGAAAGGAGTTGATGAAATCAAAGGGCTACCGATTCCCTGCTCATCCTGCACTGAAGCACATGATGACAATTTCAAACCTTTTTTCGGTTCATTAATTAGAACAGTGAATTTCATTGCTTAAGTGTGTAATTCTACAGTGATTAGCAGTTCTTGTTTTATCGTTTCATTTGGGTGGTCATTAATTTTGAAACTCTTACCACTCATTATAGCTGGTTGTAGTTTTATGAAAGATGTAATTTATAGCTGAAGTGGCTTTTTTATGCATAGCTGCCTTTTTTATTGTTTAACAGTGTTTCTCAGCTATATAATCAGTTTCAAACTGGTTGTAAAAGTATAGCTGTGGCCAATGAATGTATTTATTTGTTGTTTCACTAAATTGTAACAAAACACTACTGTTAAAAATAAAAGTGTTTGTGCTTTTATTTGGTGGTCTGGTTTTCTTAAATGTGTCAATTGACAACACTGAGTTTCTAGCACACAAGGATAAGAACCCTAATACTACCAAAGAAAGAAGAAAAATATCAGGAATTACAAATGAGTTAGTGATCTTGTATCTGGACATCACGTCCCTTGATATTATACACTGATTTGACATGAACTGCCATACACTTTAAAATGCAATAGGATCTTGATAGTACATTTATTCAAACATTAAGCTAAGAAAAATCTTTGTATGAAATAACTTATAACACCTCTCTCCTTCTCCTTGAATTTTAAACAGGAATAAATTTAGCTAGCCCATAATCTTGGGCAGCTATTCTTTGATCATTCAAGAAATTCTTCAGTGATGTTGCTCTTTCCCCTGAAAGAAGGGTTCTTACCATTTTTTCCATAATAGACTCCCACATAACTTGCCAAAACTACACCAAAAATTTTTTTAAAGATTTTATTTATTTATTCATGAGAGACACAGAGAGAGGCAGAGACATAGGCAGAGGGAGAAGCAGGCTCCATGCAGGGAGCCCAATGTGGGACTTCAGGATCATGCCCTGGGCCGAAGGGAGACACTCAACCACTGAGTCACCCAGGCGTTCCAAACCACACCAAATTTTGAATGCAATTTCAGAAAGGAGCTTTACTGACCTCTCCTGGAAGTCCACAAATCCTTGGGAATCTATTAACTCTTTTTGTAAGGAATATTTGGAGTGAAGGTCTGATCTCTAATACAATAAATTTGTCATTTGAAAAGCAGTTTATTCAACAAACATTTATTAAAGTGTTCATCTGCCAAAAATTATGCTATGGAGATGCAAAAATGGATCAAGTTCCTTTTCCTGCCCTTAAGGAGCTCACATTCTAATAAAGGAGGTTTAAAAGAAAATACAGTACAATATGTGACACAATAGAGGTAGGCTGTAATTACAGTGGTGACATTAAAGAGGAGATTAGAGGGTACTCCTTGGGTGGAACAAGGGAGATTTCACAGAGGCCAGCTTGATGCTGGCCTGCAAGGAGAAATGGAAACATTCCAGGTAAGGAAGGATGGCTGGGAGCACATGATGCAGAGAGCAGCATGCACCCATGTGTGGCAACCTGACCCTGGCATATCTGAAGAATTCAGTGTTTTATCAAAGCATGAGGGCTGGGGACAGGGCTGGGAGACACACATCAGTGGACCTTGTTGGAGTGCTTCTACAAAGTCTGCTGTGGCAGCACCATGGGGTGCAGGAGAGGAGACAGGCTGGAATCAGGGAGGCAGGTTAGTGTAGTTTTCTAGATTAAGAGCAAAGAAAAGGAAGGACAGTAATGCATTCAAGATAGGGAGATCAACTCCACAGCGCTTACACACTGACTGGTTAGGGAAGGACAAAGAGGAGTGAGCCTAGAGAATTTAGATGATGGCTCTGAAATTAACCAGAGTAAGCAACACAGGCATAAAAACAGATCTAGAGGGAAAAGGGTTAAGACACACAGGTATCTGTGGGACAACAGTAAAGACGTGGTAAACAGACTGAGAAATACAGACTAATGATAAGGACTTATATATCATTGAATTGGAATTACCCAAGAGTGAGAAGTGGTGGTGATCTAGAACAAGAATCAAAAGTCTAAGGAATAGCATTTAAGGCATAAACGAAAAGAAGCTAAAAAAGGATGCATCAGGAGCCCAGGAATGACATATAACGAACCCAGGGGGGGAAAAAGATTTTTAAAGAAGGGGCTGCCAAACAGTATCAAATGCAGGAAAAAAAAAAAAAAAGTCAAGTAAGAAATGGCTTGTGAACTGAACTATGAATTTAGAATTGGAATTTCTTACTTCAAAAGAAGAAATTGTTAGGAACTACAGAGCCAAGAGCAAGATTTCTGGTTAAGGAGCAAGTGGGAGGTGACAAAATGATGATAGGAATATTCTTTCAAAAAGATTGACTTAAAAAAAGGGTGAGGGCATTACCTGAGTTAGAGAAGCATACAGACAAAATTGCCATGAAAACCCTTCCACCACACGTCCGGAGTACTACAAATGTCCTCTAAACATTTACACATGGTGCTTACATCATAGTCCCTGGAGTCTCCAAGAATATTGACTTAATTAGTAGATAAAGGTCTTTCTTTTCCTGCCTTATCCAAATGAGGGGAGGAGAGAGAAAATATGACACATACTATTAAAAATAGCTCTGGAGTTATTCATTTAAGAGATACTAAATACATATTAATACATTCATTCAACAAATATTTATTGGATACCGAACATGTGCTTTACTCTGTACTTGGCATTATACCAGATTTTAGGGACATAGAAAAGAAAAAGTATACAGCAGTATAAGGTGATATTTCTAACCTATTATATAAATAAACCCTGCTTTATTAATAATGCAACATCTCAACATGGTACACCCACTCAAATGGATAGAGGGCACATCATTTTGAGGTATAGTTTTTTTATCGTTTCTTTCACAATTACCATTTGATCAAAATTCTTAAACCCTTTCAAATATTATCATTGAAGAACTGCCACTAATGAAAACCTCCAAAAATTAGTTTATTTTTAAGGAGAAAAAAGGAAATGAACCTCATGTACGAAACACAAAAATTCTATGCCCTATGACTATACAGATCAAGCATTATAAAGGACAACAAACTCAAAAAGGACTTTATTTACACCAGAACTCAAAATGATTCCTTATTCTAAGGCTGACAGTATTACATAGTTCCTTTTATTTTTCAGAGGAAATCATTTTTAAAAAATAATCCAGTATCACACACTGAAGTATTTAAGGTTCAAAGGGCACGATACCTGGAACTGACTTTCAAATGATTTAGGAAAAAATAATAAACGTGTGTGTGTGTGTGTGTGTGTGTGTGTAGAGAGAGAATGAAAGGTAAAGCAAATGTGAACAATTAGTGAATCTGAATGAAGAGTTCTTCCTACTATCCTGGAAACTTTTCTGTAAATTTAAAATTATATAAAAATAAATTTTTCCCCAAATTTTATTCAGCATTAGGTAAAGTATGAGAATAAATATATAAATCTATTCAACTTTTCACAATGTTTAGAAATCCCCTGTCTTTGAGTTGTTATTGTATCTTTCTACACACTGAAACAAGCCAATCTAAATAGCAATATAAATTTCTCAAAGTCATTTATTTCATACCAGTGCACTTTTAGGTTGCCAGATAAAACACAGGACTCCCAGTTAAATTTGAATTTTAAATAAGAGACAATTTCTGGTATAAGTATGTCCCAAATATTGCATGCAACATATATTAAAAAAATTATTCAACTTGATGTGATGAGCACTGGGTGTTATACTGTATGTTGACAAATTGAATTCAAATAAAAAAATGTAAAAAACAAAAAAAATATTCATTTCAAATTTAAATTTAACTGGGCATTATGTATTTTTATTTACTAAATCTGGTAACCATAAATGTATTGAAAACTTTCAGATTGATAATTATGGATTATTCATGAGCCTCCTCAGCATTTTCCTATTAAACGCTCAATACACTAACCATAGATTTATTTATATTACATCTTCTCACAAAAAATTCTTGAGAGAATTACATTTACTTAGTTTTAACATATATGAATTTGATAATCCTGATTTTATTCAATATTAAATTTTAAAATTTATACCACATCATCAAAACATTACTTTTACTCACAATAATATTATACATAGACTTAACACAATTAAAAAAAATTGTTTACTTAAAACAGTATAATTCTTTTATAAAAGAAGCTTTATATAAAATGTTTGGCTTAAGAATGTCATTGCTCTTATGCCTTTGAATGAAATTCCACTCTTTGTCCTTCATAGTCCAGAAACAGGCACATTTCAACTTGTTTTCCATTTTCTTCAATGAATATTTTGTAACAAATTCCTGAAGTTTTCTAATTCTTTCACACTTGTGGAAATTCTGTAACCAAAAAAAAAAATTCTCTCAGAAGATATTTTAGATACCTTTTGTTATTCAACACTACGTTTTTAGAGCACAGAATTTTTTTCATGTAATTTATTTTAATAAATTTAAAGATGCATAAACCATTTAGTCAATTTTGATGTACTTGAGTTCTTAATTTGACATGGTAAAACCAAGATAATACTGCCCTGAAATTAGTTCTTTTTAAGTATTCAAAACTTAGTATTAAAGCTTTAAAATACAGGGGTGCCTGAATGGCTCAATCAGTTTGGCATCTGCCTTTGGCTCTGGTCATGATCCCAGAGTACCAGGGTCAGCTCCAAGTGGAGTCAGGCTCCCTGCTCAGAGGGGAGTCAGCTTTTTTCTCAACCTCTGCTCCTCCCCCCTGCTCATGCTCTCCCCCCCTCACTCTTTCAAATAAATAAATCTCTTTTTAAAAAAATTCTAAAATGCAGAATTAGAAATTACATAAATATATATCTATTCAATACTTAGTATATATACTTTAGTATATATAAATACTCAATTTATATATACTAAATATATATAAATCTACTTCAATACTTAATTAAAATACTTAGGTCATTTTTTTTTCTTTCTTTAAGTAGGCTCCACACCCAGTGTGGAGTCCAACACAGGGCTTAAAATCATGAACTTAGGATCAAGATCTGAGCTGAAATCAAGAGTCAAACACTTAAATGACTGAGCTACCCAGGTGCCTCAAAATAATAGGTATTTAAAGGTTTCACAATTATAGTCACATGCTTAAAGTACACAAATATAAACCACATAGGCATTAAAATATGTACTTTAAATATGCATAAGTTGAAGCACCTTGGTGGCTCAGGCAGATAAGCATATGCTTCTTGATTTTGGTTCAGGTCATGAGCCCTGAGTAGGGCTCCTACTTAGCACAGAGTCTGCCTGAGACTCTTTCTCCCTCTCCTTTTGCCCCTCCCCCTGCTCATGCAGGCTCTCACTCTAAAATACATAAATAAGCAAACTCTTTAAGTACGTATAACTATACAAATATTGAAAACTAATCAATATTCCACATTTAGTAAATACACAAAAAATAAAAGCTTTTGGACTATAAAGAGTAAAAATAGTAAATGTGTGACCAAATTATTTTTATTACTTTTTATAAAAAGTTTGTCATTATTTTAAGTGTATTTTAGTTCTACTCTCCACCATGAAAAAGTAGCAGAATTCTCAATCAACTTTATCTGTCAAGTTTCTGTGTGCCAGAGAATAATTTTAAAGGTCAATTATTTTACACCCAAAATATTATATCATAATTTTTTTAAAGCAAAGAAATGTAGTCCTTAGAAAATGTTACTTTGTATAAATCTCTGCATTATTTACATGGTAGGCAAGAAAGAAATATATCTACACTTAAATTCTGTAATGTAAGTTCCTTATTTCAAGTTTATCTTCCAATCATTTTTATGAAAAAAATTAGATTTTTTAAAGATTTTATTTACTTATTTGAGGGGGGGGGAGAGAGTGTGTGCGCACACAAGCAGGGGAAAGGGCAGAGGGAGAAGTGGGCCCTCCCTCCCTCGCTGAGCAGGAAGCCCCATGAGGGGCTAGATCTCAGGAACCTGGGATCATGACCTGAGCCAAAGGCAGACATCTAAACAACTGAGCCACCCAGGCACCTCAAAAATTCATTATTTTTAAAGTATTATTAACCTTTTTTACATAACGGTGAATTTGCAAAAGAATTTTATATGTATGCTTATATTAAACAACATGATTTTTCCAGGACCTTCAAAAAATATGTGGGCAGCACAAAAAACTACTTTTAAATAATTAGAAAAGAGCTGGAACGCTACAGTGAGAAGAGTTCGCGCTTCTATCAAGGTAGGAAGACGGGGAAAAAGAAATAAAGGAACAAAAGGCCTCCGAGGGGGAGGGGCCCCGGAGGAGCCGGGCTGAGGCCGGGGCGAGTGTCCCCAGGACAGGAAAGCCCCGTCCCGGAGGAGCAGGAGCTGCACCAACCTTCCCGGGCGGGCGGAAAGGGGCTCGCAGGGAGTTGGAGCAGGACCCAGGAGGGCGGGGATGCCCTCGGGCTCCCGGGGACACTAACAGGCACCTGCAAGCGCAGGAGAGTGCACCGAGCTCCCTAAGGGCTGCAGCACGCACCGGAGCAGTTCGGAGGGGCTCGGGAGCGGCTCCAGGGAGGGAGCTGCGGGGCGGGAGCGCGAATCCAACAACACAGGCCCGGAGCACAGGGCGCCGGGACACAGCCCAGGATCCGGCCTCCCCCCGGGACAGGCAGAGGCCGGGAGGGCCCAGGACAGCAAGGACGCTCCTGCCCCGAGCTGAGCAGATCAGCGGCCCCGCCCCGGAGCCTCCAGGCCCTGCGGACGGAGAGCCGAGAGCCCCGAGCCCCGTAGTTCCTGCGGAGACTGAATCCAGGCTTCCAGAGTTGCCATAGCAACTGCCGCTGATCCTCCTGAGACCTCACGGGGTAAACAACCCCCGCTGAGCCCTGCAGCAGGCAGGGGCAGAGCAGCTCCCCCAAGTGCTAACACCTGAAAATCAGCGCAACAGGCCCCTCCCCCAGAAGACCAGCTGGACGGACCAGTTCCAGGGGAAGTCAAGGGACTTAAACTCTACAGAAATACTCCCCCGTGTTTTTTTTTTTCTTTTCTTTTTTCTTTTCTTTTTGATTTCTGATTGCTTCCCCCACCCCCCTTTTTTTTTCACCTTTCTTTCTTTTTCTTTCCCTTTTTCTTCTCTTCTTTCCTTTTTCTTTTCTTTTTCTTTTTTCTTTTTCTCTTTTCTTTCCTTCTCTCTCTTTCTCTCATTCTCCCAATACAACTTGTTTTTGGCCACTCCGCACTGAGCAAAATGACTAGAAGGAAAACCTCACCTCAAAAGAAAGAATCAGAAACAGCCCTCTCTCCCACAGAGCTACAAAATCTGGATTACAATTCAATGTCAGAAAGCCAATTCAGAAGCACTATTATACAGCTACTGGTGGCTCTAGAAAAAAGCATTAAGGACTCACGAGACTTCATGACTGCAGAATTTAGATCCAATCAGGCAGAAATTAAAAATCAACTGAATGAGATGCAATCCAAACTAGAAGTCCTAACGACGAGGGTTAACGAGGTGGAAGAACGAGTGAGTGACATAGAAGACAAGTTAATGGCAAAGAGGGAAACTGAGGAAAAAAGAGATAAACAATTAAAGAACCATGAAGACAGATTAAGGGAAATAAATGACACTCTAAGGAAGAAAAATCTACGTTTAATTGGGGTTCCCGAGGGCGCCGAAAGGGACAGAGGGCCAGAATATGTATTTGAACAAATCCTAGCTGAAAACTTTCCCAATCTGGGAAGGGAAACAGGCATTCAGATCCAGGAAATAGAGAGATCCCCCCCTAAAATCAATAAAAACCGTTCAACACCTCGACATCTAATAGTGAAGCTTGCAAATTCCAAAGATAAAGAGAAGATCCTTAAAGCAGCAAGAGACAAGAAGTCCCTGACTTTCATGGGGAGGAATATTAGGGTAACAGCAGACCTCTCCACAGAGACCTGGCAGGCCAGAAAGGGCTGGCAGGATATATTCAGGGTCCTAAATGAGAAGAACATGCAACCAAGAATACTTTATCCAGCAAGGCTCTCATTCAAAATGGAAGGAGAGATAAAGAGCTTCCAAGACAGGCAGGAACTGAAAGAATATGTGACCTCCAAACCAGCTCTGCAAGAAATTTTAAGGGGGACTCTTAAAATTCCCCTTTAAGAAGAAGTTCAGTGGAACAATCCACAAAAACAAGGACTAAATAGATATCATGATGACACTAAACTCATATCTGTCAATAGTAACTCTGAACGTGAATGGGCTTAATGACCCCATCAAAAGGCGCAGGGTTTCAGACTGGATAAAAAAGCAGGACCCATCTATTTGCTGTCTACAAGAGACTCATTTTAGACAGAAGGACACCTACAACCTGAAAATAAAAGGTTGGAGAACCATTTACCATTCAAATGGTTCTCAAAAGAAAGCAGGGGTAGCCATCCTTATATCAGATAAACTAAAATTCACTCCGAAGACAGTAGTGAGAGACGAAGAGGGACACTATATCATACTTAAAGGATCTATCCAACAAGAGGACTTAACAATCCTCAATATATATGCCCCGAATGTGGGAGCTGCCAAATACTTAAACGAATTATTAACCAAAGTAAAGAAATACTTAGATAATAATACACTTATACTTGGTGACTTCAATCTAGCTCTCTCTACCCTTGATAGGTCTTCTAAACACAACATCTCCAAAGAAACGAGAGCTTTAAATGATACACTGGACCAGATAGATTTCACAGATATCTACAGAACTTTACATCCAAACTCAACTGAATACACATTCTTCTCAAGTGCACATGGAACTTTTTCCAGAATAGACCACATACTGGGTCACAAATCGGGTCTGAACCGATACCAAAAGATTGGGATCGTCCCCTGCATATTCTCAGACCATAACGCCTTGAAATTAGAACTCAATCACAAGAAGAAGTTTGGAAGGACCTCAAACACGTGGAGGTTAAGGACCATCCTGCTAAAAGATAAAAGGGTCAACCAGGAAATTAAGGAAGAATTAAAAAGATTCATGGAAACTAATGAGAATGAAGATACAACTGTTCAAAATCTTTGGGATGCAGCAAAAGCAGTCCTGAGGGGGAAATACATCGCAATACAAGCATCCATTCAAAAACTGGAAAGAACTCAAATACAAAAGCTAACCTTACACATAAAGGAGCTAGAGAAGAAGCAGCAAATCGACCCGACGCCCAGCAGAAGAAGAGAGTTAATTAAAATTCGAGCAGAACTCAACGAAATTGAGACCAGAAGAACTGTGGAACAGATCAATAGAACCAGGAGTTGGTTCTTTGAAAGAATTAATAAGATAGATAAACCATTAGCCAACCTTATTAAAAAGAAGAGAGAGAAGACTCAAATTAATAAAATCATGAATGAGAAAGGAGAGATCACTACCAACACCAAGGAAATACAAACGATTTTAAAAACATATTATGAACAGCTCTACGCCAATAAATTAGGCAATCTAGAAGAAATGGACGCATTCCTGGAAAGCCACAAACTACCAAAACTGGAGCAGGAAGAAATAGAAAACCTGAACAGGCCAATAACCAGGGAGGAAATTGAAGCAGTCATCAAAAACCTCCCAAGACACAAGAGTCCAGGGCCAGATGGCTTCCCAGGGGAATTCTATCAAACGTTTAAAGAAGAAATCATACCTATTCTACTAAAGCTGTTTGGAAAGATAGAAAGAGATGGAGTACTTCCAAACTCATTCTATGAGGCCAGCATCACCTTAATTCCAAAACCAGACAAAGACCCCACCAAAAAGGAGAATTACAGACCAATATCCCTGATGAACATGGATGCAAAAATTCTCAACAAGATACTAGCCAATAGGATCCAACAACACATTAAGAAAATTATTCACCATGACCAAGTAGGATTTATCCCCGGGATGCAAGGCTGGTTCAACACTCGTAAAACAATCAATGTGATTCATCATATCAGCAAGAGAAAAACCAAGAACCATATGATCCTCTCATTAGATGCAGAGAAAGCATTTGACAAAATACAGCATCCATTCCTGATTAAAACTCTTCAGAGTGTAGGGATAGAGGGAACTTTCCTCGATATCTTAAAAGCCATCTACGAAAAGCCCACAGCAAATATCATTCTCAATGGGGAAGCACTGGGAGCCTTTCCCCTAAGATCAGGAACCAGACAGGGATGTCCACTCTCACCACTGCTATTCAACATAGTATTGGAAGTCCTAGCCTCAGCAATCAGACAACAAAAAGACATTAAAGGCATTCAAATTGGCAAAGAAGAAGTCAAACTCTCCCTCTTCGCCGATGACATGATACTCTACATAGAAAACCCAAAAGCCTCCACCCCAAGATTGCTAGAACTCATACAGCAATTTGGTAGCGTGGCAGGATACAAAATCAATGCCCAGAAATCAATGGCATTCCTATACACTAACAATGAGACTGAAGAAAGAGAAATTAAGGAGTCAATCCCATTTACAATTGCACCCAAAAGCATAAGATACCTAGGAATAAACCTAACCAAAGAGGTAAAGGATCTATACCCTAAAAACTATAGAACACTTCTGAAAGAAATTGAGGAAGACACAAAGAGATGGAAAAATATTCCATGCTCATGGATTGGCAGAATTAATATTGTGAAAATGTCAATGCTACCCAGGGCAATTTACACGTTCAATGCAATCCCTATCAAAATACCATGGACTTTTTTCAGAGACTTAGAACAAATTATTTTAAGATTTGTGTGGAATCAGAAAAGACCCCGAATAGCCAGGGGAATTTTAAAAAAGAAAACCATAGCTGGGGGCATCACAATGCCAGATTTCAGGTTGTACTACAAAGCTGTGGTCATCAAGACAGTGTGGTACTGGCACAAAAACAGACACATAGACCAATGGAACAGAATAGAGAATCCAGAAATGGACCCTGAACTTTATGGTCAACTAATATTCGACAAAGGAGGAAAGACGATCCACTGGAAGAAAGACAGTCTCTTCAATAAATGGTGCTGGGAAAATTGGTCATCCACATGCAGAAGAATGAAACTAGACCACTCTCTTGCACCATACACAAAGATAAACTCAAAATGGATGAAAGATTTAAATGTGAGACAAGACTCCATCAAAATCCTAGAGGAGAACACAGGCAACACCCTTTTTGAACTTGGCCACAGTAACTTCTTGCAAGATACATCCACGAAAACAAAAGAAACAAAAGCAAAAATGAACTATTGGGACTTCATCAAGATAAGAAGCTTTTGCACAGCAAAGGATACAGTCAACAAAACTCAAAGACAACCTACAGAATGGGAGAAGATATTTGCAAATAACATATCAGATAAAGGGCTAGTTTCCAAAATCTATAAAGAACTTATTAAACTCAACACCAAAGAAACAAACAATCCAATCATGAAATGGGCAAAAGACATGAAGAGAAATCTCACAGAGGAAGACATAGACATGGCCAACATGCACATGAGAAAATGCTCTGCATCACTTGCCATCAGGGAAATACAAATCAAAACCACAATGAGATACCACCTCACACCAGTGAGAATGGGGAAAATTAACAAGGCAGGAAACAACAAATGTTGGAGAGGATGCGGAGAAAAGGGAACCCTCTTACACTGTTGGTGGGAATGTGAACTGGTGCAGCCACTCTGGAAAACTGTGTGGAGGTTCCTCAAAGAATTAAAAATAGACCTGCCCTACGACCCAGCAATTGCACTGTTAGGGATTTACCCCGAAGATTCAGATGCAATGAAACGCCGGGGCACCTGCACCCCGATGTTTCTAGCAGCCATGTCCACAATAGCCAAACTGTGGAAGGAGCCTCGGTGCCCATCGAAAGATGAATGGATAAAGAAGATGTGGTTTATGTATACAATGGAATATTACTCAGCCATTAGAAACAACAAATACCCACCATTTGCTTCAACGTGGATGGAGCTGGAGGGTATTATGCTGAGTGAAGTAAGTCAATCGGAGAAGGACAAACAGTGTATGTTCTCACTTATTTGGGGAATATGAATAATAGTGAAGGGGAATATAAGGGAAGGGAGAAGAAATGTGTGGGAGATATCAGAAAGGGACACAGAACATAAAGACTTCTAACTCTGGGAAATGAACTAGGGGTGGTGGAAGGGGAGGAGGGCGGGGGGTGGGGGTGAATGGGTGACGGGCACGGAGGGGGACACTTGACGGGATGAGCACTGGGTGTTATTCTGTATGTTGGTAAATTGAACACCAATAAAAATTAATTTATAAAAAAAAAAAAAGAAAAAAAAAATAAATAATTAGAAAAAATATACAAATTCAGTAAGATGAATATTGAAGTCCAATCAGTAATTAGTCATAATTATAAAAATCAATAGATGAAAGTAAAGAATAACACCTAATGATTGTGGGTGTATACATACTTAAAGTATTTCATAAAATCACAGAATTCTGTAGTGAGATAATTTCACTAAATAGGATATTCCTTACCCAGTTTTTTCTGAGAATATATGACTTGCATTAGACTTACTTGGCTAACAAAAACAATTTCAGTACATTCAAACTAACCTTCCAAATGCATTAAATAATGATACTATTTCTTGTCGGGTTAGATGGAATTCATAGCTGGGCCCACTCTCTGGCATATTTGCTATCAGTTTCTCAGAAAACAAAATCTTCAGAGCAGTACCCAAACCCTGAATCTGTAACAGAAATAAGAAAAAAAGAAAAGTAAGAAAATTCTTTGCACAGAGAATAAATGAAAAATTAGACCAAACTAGATTTGCTTACCTGAAGCTTTCCCCATAGTCGACATTTAAAACAACCAACACAATCCATGATTCTAGAAATATTTCTAAAATGCAGTCGAAAGTCCTCCTAAAAATAATTTAATGAGATTTTTATTAAGATGTACCATATAGTCAAACACTAAATATTTAGTGAGCGCCTTCTATGTGCCTAGCACTGTGCAAGGGATCTTAGAGCGTATGGAAAAAAAGGAAGAGAATTAAAGTCCACATTCATTGAGCACTTCCTGCACACCAGAATCTACATATACAATTTCATTTCATCTTCACCACAAATCCAAAAGTAGATGTTATTATAATTTACACTGAATGAATTAAAAACACAAGGTTCAGAGAGGTTAGGTTGCCTAAATTCCCATATGTAGTAAACAGCAAACTTAGACCCTGGACCTGCCTGACTCAAAAACTGAACTATCTGCAAAGATACACAAAAGTAACTGAGCTGAGGTGTTCTGTTTTATGTGATCATTAACTACATGTGAATATCAGAGGAAGGGGGTCTGCGGTAGGATAGCATCATTTACCAAAAAAGAAGAAAAAAGAAAAAAGAGAAAGAGGGAGAGAAGGGAGAAATTTCAAAATAGACCTTCATAAGAGTAAAAGTCTTGCTTTCTGGTATTAATTAGGTAAAACAATTAGATATCTTATGGCTATTAATATTTTATTATAATATTTTCATTTTAAATATATGCATAATTAATGTTATCACATACATATATGCAGAATATAGTGAACATCCATGTACACTTTACCAATCTTTAGAAAGAAAGCATTATAAGTACCATGGAAGCCCTCTATGTATCTCTCCAAAGTCCTATATCCTACCCTCTATAATTATTCTGAAGTTGGTATTTATTGTTCTTTTTATACTTTTAATACATACGTATATATGTATGAACACTAAGGTACTGTGTTGTTTATAATTGGACAAAATGAATCCAACTCATCCAAAAGTAGTATATGTCCTAAAGGACAAGTAAAAGAGAAAGAAGTCAAGAACACATCCTTCTTTTACTCCAATGGAAATTATTAATTGATCCTTTAAGTTACTCCCTCTGTCCTGGACTTATATTGGAATCCCAAGCTCACAGTATAGTATTCTAAGCAGGAAATTTGACATTCAATCAGGCATTCATTTGAGAGAGAGCATGCAAGCAGGGGCAGGAAGAGAGCAGAAGGGGGAGGAGCAGAAGGGAAAGGGAGAGAATATCAAACAGACTCTGCACTGACAGTGAAGCCCCATGCAGGCTCCATCCCATGACCCTGAAGTCATGACCTGAGCCAAAACCATAACAGTCAAAAGTCGGACATCTGACTGAACCACCCGGGTAGCCCCTGACATACACTTCTGAATGAAAATCCATTATACTAATCAGCCTACAATTTGAGCAACATGTAGCATTTCTCTCTCTTCTTTCTCTCTCGTGCGCTCTCTCTCTCTCTCTCTCTCTCTCTAATGTGATAAACCACATACTGGGCTCAATCATAAGAGAACAGGACCAAAGATCTAAAAAAAAAAAAATGGGAATAAACCAGCAAAGATTGGTACCCACTATTTAAAGTAGACCTCAATTCCTTTTGGGTATTGTTCTTCCCAGATGCTTTATTCAGCTTAAGACTCTGAAACAGGTGTATTATGTAAAAGATTTTAAATAGGATCCCCCCAAAAATAAATTAAATAGGATCCCAGATTTTGTATCTTTAATATAAATTTTGTATTAATTTAATATAAAGCCCAAATTATTAATACTAATTATATGTTAACAATACATCTTGTGTTTCTGTATCTTTTGGACTGAGTTCAGTAAGAGGTAATTTGAATTTTAAACCAAGTTTTAAAAAATATTTATCCAGTAATATTACTCTAAGCAAATTTTGGTGATTTAAGGATTCTTTTAAACTTGTGTTTCAAGGGATGCCTGGGTGGCTCACGGTTGAGCATCTGCCTTTGGCTCAGGGCATGGTCCAAGTCTGGGGATTGAGTCCTGCATCAGGCTCCCTGCAAGGAGCCTGCTTCTCCCTCTGTCTATATCTCTGTCTGCCTTTCTGTGTCTCTTATGAAAAAATAAATAAAATATTTTTTAAAAAAAAAATTAAAAAAATAAATAAACTTGTGTTTCGACCTGGAATTAAATTTTAAAAAAAGGGGGGATCCCTGGGTGGCGCAGCCGTTTGGCGCCTGCCTTTGGCCCAGGGCGCGATCCTGGAGACCTGGGATCAAATCCCACGTCGGGCTCCCGGTGCATGGAGCCTGCTTCTCCCTCTGCCTGTGTCTCTGCCTCTCTCTCTCTATGACTATCGTAAATAAAAAAAAAAAAAAAAAATTGTTAAATTTTAAACAAAGGAAAACCACAGTTTTAACAATAACAGCCTAGTAAAATCACTCTAAAGTAGATGTTCCCATCCTATGAGGTGCTGACCTTTGGAATATTTAATAGTTATTATTAAGGGCCTAAAAAATCCATATGTAGACAAGCATTACATACAGACAGAATAAATAAGTCACATGTATGCACTATAAATTTCCAAATGAATATAAATGTTATGGTCAATAAAACACAACTTTTACTTAAAAAGAATTACTAAATGCATAGTGGCCTTTTGGCAATTATATTTTCACAATCAATAGATACTAAAAATACTGTATCATAGGAAGAGGCCTTGAAAGTTTTTGACTTTCAGACTCTCATTCATGTAATAGCTGGAGACCTCTGTTTTAAAAGATTGTGCTTGCTTTTGCAGACATTGTCTAAATTCAGTATTTGGATCTGTTTGTTAATTCAAATCCTTGAATGTGGCAAGTCTTGAGTAAATCTTTGTCTGGCAATCAAAGAGAGTAAGCATGGTTGCTTACGATAGCCAAAATAACACTGCAAAATTTAAACCAAGTACTTGTGTGTAGGTTAATTTAATATTTGAGACCCCAAAAATAAGCTAGTAATTTACTAGATCAGAACAGGAGAAAATATTTATGACCTCCATAGATAATCAATGTCCAATAACCAAAATATATCCCTAAGTTATCCTAGATTAGAAAAATTTATGAACCCTAAAATAACCTGAACCTAAGTCACTTATAAATTCTCCTTGTTTTATGTATGCAGCTTTTTTTAAAACTTTATTTATTTATTTACTTATGATAGTCATATATATCATATATATATATGGAGAGAGAGGCAGAGACACAGGCAGAGGGAGAAGCAGGCTCCATGCACCGGGAGCCCGACGTGGGATTCGATCCCGGGTCTCCAGGATTGCGCCCTGGGCCAAAGGCAGGCGCCAAACGGCTGCGCCACCCAGGGATCCCCTGTATGCAGCTTTTAAGTCAACACTTAAAGTTACAGTCAGTGGGTAGAATGATCAAACATGCTGTGGTTATATACTGTAAGTTCCATTCAGTGACACCAATTGACAATTCTCACCCACTACTTGTATGTTTTAGAAGCCTTCAAGTGAGGTCCTACTCTATCTTGAACACTAAATAGTTCTTTCATACTGTCTATTTCTAACCGTACATTGATAGTATATAAAGCAGACAAAACAAGATTTTTTTCAGATACACCTGAAACTGGTGTAACAATCTATGTTAATTATAAAAAAATAAAACTTGGAAAAAAAATAAATAAATAAAAATAATAATAATAAAAAAAATAAAACTTGGGGAGCCTGGCTGGCTCAGTCTGAAAAGCGCGTAACTCTTGATCTCAGGGTTATGAGTTTGAGCCCCACATTGTGTATAGTGATTAAATAAAAATAAAATTTGTAAAAGTTTAAAAATAAATAAAACTAAAAACCATAATGTTCACCATAAACTACCTTTTTTTAAAGAAAGTAAATCTCTGATATTAACAAGTTTTCTTTTTTTTTTTACTTCTTTATTATAAAAGAATTCAGAAAAATTATCTGTTAAACTCCATAGGACATCAAAGCTGAGTGTTTCAGAGTTTTGATAAAATTAAAACATTACGGGAAATATTTCTAATCTGCATGATATAAAAAGTTTTAATGCCAAAACACTTTCCAATAATCCAGCAAGTGTACTAAAAATAACGGAAAGAGTGAAAATAGTAGAAAAAAACAAGTCTTATTACAGTATCTTCCCCCTCACTTCCAAGTTCCTGGAAGCTGCCTGGAAGGTTATATAAGCACTGAAGTATGTATTTCTAGCAAAAATGCTTTCAGTAGAAGGGAAATAGGAGATTAAAAATAACTATTATTTAACAGCAAAAAAAAAAAATGAAAATGAGTCCAAGAAACATTGTTTACAAACTGCATAAAATCAGGTTCTTTCCTTATAGAAAGAAACTAAGAATATAAAACAGAGGAATATTGTGATAAATATTCTGAAGAAATCAGATCAAACCCAGTGCTCCTGAGAGCTCCCTGCCTTTACTTACCTTTAGCTTTGTAACAGAATAGTAATATAATTTTGAGTCCCCAAATAAACTAGAAATCTACTGAGGGTAGGAGCTGTCTCTTCCTTTAATGACAAGAATTCTGTTTTGCTCATATTGAGTATTTAAAGAGTCTTTCTATTATTATATTTGTAGGATTTTGATGCAAATATACACAAAGATGGTCTTGTATGAGCTTATACCTCTACTAAGAGACAAGATAAATACCAATCCCCATTTTGTAGGGCATTGTGTGTTTTCTTTTGCTGGCTTCCCATCCCACTGAATAAGATGAATGACAAACACTGTACCCTCTCCCTCTAAAGAGGATCCTTTAATTTATCCAAAACCATTTTCAGAATTCTCCTCAACAAAAGACAGATACTGCCATTCATGCTCTATATCCGTTTCCTTTCATTTATAACACCTATTTTTTATGAGACCATCAATGTGAAAGCCATCATTAGGTGTGCAGTGACAGAATTCAGTCATTACTTTGAGAACATAAACTAGATCTTAAGTTGGCCTGCTTTTGGGCTTCCTTTTTTGGAGGAAAAGAAAGTTTATGACTCTGGCTTTTAATTTCCTAATATATAATAAGATATATTGTTAACCATAAAAACATGGGTTTATATTCATACCTGCAAAAGAGTTTGAATCTAAAACTTAAGTAAAAGTATGAAATATTTACCTTCAGTTTGTTTGCTTCCTTTTTATCCCCAGCAAAAAAGGAATTCTCATCAAAATGCAAAGGAAATGACCTACATGTTAAAACAGAGAAGATTCATTTTCAGGTATTATAAAATATTAGAAGTCCCGCTAACATTTTGCTGGTTGGTGATGAATAATATAATAGAAAGAGTGGAAAATATAGTAAAATCAACACTCTGTTGCCCCAAAACAAAGTCTTATCCTTAAATCTAAAACAACTGCATAAAATAGTAGAAGCTTGGCCGCAAATCCAATGTATTCAACCATGTATGAAAATAATGCAGGTATCAAGTACTACAAGAATGACTCTTAAGACTAAAAACTTGTGCCATTTAGTACTGAAGTTTAAACAAAAACAAAACTCAATTCTAAAAGACCTACAAGCAAAATTAGCTTGTAACTATTTATTTTTTAATAATTTTCTTTTCTCGGGGCACCTGGGTGATTCAGTCAGTTCAGTGCTTGACTTCAGTTCAGGTCATGATCTCAGGGTCCCAGGATTGAGCCCTGCATTGGCTCCCTGCTCAGTGGGGAATCTGCTTCTCCCTCTTCCTCTGTCTCTTCCCCCACTTGTGCTCTCTCTCTCGCTCATATAAATAAATAAAATCTCAAAAAAAAATGTTTTTTCCTTTCTCTAAATTGAACATTTAAGAATTGAACTTTGGATACCACTTGTCACTCTTCTATTAATGTCTAAGTTGTATAAGTTGTAATATGTAATTTACTTGATTTCATGAAGTATTTCCAGAAGTAGCATTTTGTTTTCTGCGTCGTGAACTTTATTTCCAGTGAAGAGTTGAAAATCTGGGCGTTCGAAGAATGGTACCACTTTAGATAAAGCCCTTAATTCTATTAAGTAGAGAAAATACAAGTTCTTGAGCCGTCTTGGACCTTCTCCCTCAGTCAAAATGCCATCAAATCGCTGCTGAAATTCTGTAATGTTGTGTCCCCATTTCTTTTCCAACCAAGTTTCTAAGAAGTAAGAAGAATTATATATTAAAATCTGAATTTTAAAATTAAGTTTCATTTTACTTACATTGGGTTATTTATGCCTACAGAAGTTAGTTTTATCTTCTAGAACCCACCCTTAGAAGGAAAATAATTCACCATTTTACTGAGATATATAATTTCACAAAAATCAAATTTCTGAATATAAACATCTTTATAAAACCAAGATACACAATTTAAAAATGACTGTCTGAATTACTGATAAGTTTGAAGTTAGTGTGTTTTGTTCCTGAGGCATAGAGATATTTTAAATTCCAGAAGAAATAGGTTACTGATGAAAATTAACCATGGTCTTGTTTTGCAACAGCATTTTTAAAGCATTAAGAGCAGCAGAAAGTGCTTTTACCCATTAAACTCCAGGCCTGAAGCTGGCACACAAATAAAAGGGTTTTAATACAGTAGTATCTGATGAATAACAAACTGTACTATTAGGAGCTATTTTAACTCCAACAAAACAAGAGGATATTTCCAAAATGATGTGCACAATTTTGAGCAGCTTCTTAAAAGAAGGTAAACAGAGTTAAGATCATGCTGTGTCCTTATAAAATCTATAGTTCCCACATTCCTGATTACTACTATTTAAGAATGAATTTTTACTGCCTAATATTCAAGACAGTCAACCTTATCCCACTAAGGTAAATGCCAAAAAATTTTAAGAATTTCTGAAAATAAGTATGGTGAAATAAATAAAAGTAAATGTCACATACCTTGTAGAAGATACCGCGCACTCAAATGCACATTAATGCTTGCATGCAGGCCAGATATAAGTCTGTAGAATGCTCTTTTTTCTACACACAGGCCTAAAAAAAAGCAATTTGGTAATAGAAATTTTATATGTGAAACTTGTACCATTACAAAATTAATTTCATAGGTTTTATAGATGAGAAAAATGTTTAACATTTAAATTTGTTTAAAAGCTTCCAAAAAAAAAAGCTTCCAATTACCTTCTAGCCAACTGTAAAAGGTGTTCTCTGAAATTAAAAGAAACATAAGTCACAAAGTTGTAAAAATGCCAAAATGTAAGTTTTTCAATATATAATACCAATTTGTGCCAAACGGCAATTTAAAAATTAATGAAAGGTCCAAATTTTATCTGCAATTTATCCAAAGGAAAGAGAGAATTTCTTGGTGTAGATTCAATTAAGTACCATTCTCTTGCTCAGTCTCTAGAAAGCTTCAGCACTGCCTTTGGTAGCTTCAGTCTCATAACTTTGTAGATAAAATGTTTCATATGAGGTCAGAACACAGAATTTAAATAATAAATCAATGCAAGGAAAACTACTTAGCCTTGAAAATTAAAGACTTAGCTATGAAAATTAAGGACTCATTATTATGCTTTTCTAACTTGTGAAAGTAAATAAAAATTATAAAATAGAGTTGATGGTATATTATTTGCACATAGCTCATACTATTTCATGCCAGTCAATATTTCAAAGGAGCAATACCAAGGAAATGTTACAAAACTAAATACCACTTATATTCTATGACCCAAAAAGATCACTTTTCATAAGTTTAGACCTGATAACTCTGCTTTTAGAATTATGTTCTAAAGAAATAATTCAAATGGTGAAGGAGTCAATAATGTGTACAATGATGGTTATATATAATTATTAAAACCTGAAATAATAAAAATGTACAATAAATGCCTAAGTTAACACAATACGATACTATATAACTAGGTAACACGGTAGAATAATATAAAACTATTTAAAATAAAAAATGTGGAACATGACAATACATGAAAATGTTTATTTGAGATAACGTATAAAAAGGCATAGAAAGTTTTCATACCTAGGTAAAAATTCTATGTATGCATTTACAAGAGACGGCAAAAATTATACAGTTCTTTTGACTAAAGTTGTTTATAATAATATTAACAATTAATTAAACAAGCATAAAAGTAATAAAAGGAATGGCAAAGAGAATACACAGTAAATCAGACTATCTAAAAACTTAAAACACCTGTCAGAAAACCTCACAAGTGAAAGTAAAAGGTAAACAACCAAGTAGGTTGAATGTACGTCACAAAAACAACAAAGGGATAACATTCTTTTTCTTTAAAAGATTTTATTTGAGGGAGAGGGAGGGGCAGGAGGAGAAACAGAGTCCCCACTGAGCACAGAGCCTAAGGGCTCAATCCCAGGACCCTGAGATCCTGACCTAAGCCAAAGGCAGCTGCTTAACCAATGGAGCCAGCCAGGAGCCCCAAAGGGATAATATTCTAAATATATAAAAAGCTCATAAACTGAATGAAAGTGCTAAAGTACCCATTTAAAATGGGCAAATAATATAGAAATAGAGAATTCAAAAGGAAAAACTACAAATGGTAAGAACATAAAAATCATTGTTTCACTAGTAATAAAAAATCCAAATTACAATAGAGATACCACTTTTAAAAGTAAAGATAAAAATATGACAATACTTATTAATGCTGACAAGGGTCAGGTAAAACTATTGGTCAGGCACACTGACTGGAAGGGATATAAATTAGCACATGCTTTCAATGACAAAATGCAATCTGGTCATATGTATCAGGAGCCTAAAATGTCCGTAACCTTTGATCCAGCAAATCCATTTCTAGAAATCGAGGCTATAATGGATAAAATTCATATGTTGAAGCTCTATCTCCCCAAGAAATAGTATTTGGAGGTGAGACTTTTGAGAGATGATTAGGTTTAGATGAGGTCATGAGGGTAGGGGTGTCATGATGGGATTAGTGTCCTTTATAGGCAGAAGAAGATACCAGAGCTCGTTCTCAGCCGCTGAGGACACAGTAAAAAAGCTGGCTACCTGCAAGCCAGGAAGAGAGCCCTTATGAAGAATCAAATCTGCTGGCAACCTTGATCTCAGACTTCCCAGCCTCTAGAACTGTGAGAAAATAAACATCTTATTCAAGTCACCCAGTCTTTGGTATGTTGTTAGAGCAGCCTGAGCTAAGACATAGGCTAAGGAAGCAAGCAGACATGGGAATAATAATAATACACAAAGATATAAATATATCCAGTATAAAAATATATGTAAATAAATAATTATCAAAATGTCAACAGAGAAGCAGTCTGAGTAACCAAGAGCACGGACTTTTTTTTTTTTTTAAGAGTTTTAGATTTTGTTTATTCAAGACAGAGAGAAAGAGAGAACATGAGTGGAAGGAGAGGGGCAAAGGAAGAGGGAAAGCAAAAAGCAGGCAGGCTCCCTGTTCAGTGGGGAGCCTGATGTGAGGCTCAATTCCAGACCTTGGGCTCATTACCTGAACAGAAAATAGACGTTTAACCGACTGAGCCACTCAGGTATCCCAAGAGCATGGACCCTGGAGCCAAACTGAATAATTTCAATTGTAGCTGTGCTTGTTAGAAGTCATACATGATTTAGCTGAGTTGCTAAACCCTCTGGCACTCACTTTCTTGTCTATAAAATGGAGATAAATGTAATACCTCCTAAGAATGTCGGAAGAATTAAACGAAATCCTATTTGTAAACTGCTTAAAAGAGTACTGGCATGTAGTCTTAGCCATTGCCATTATCAATTATTTTGGGGTTGTGGGATTACAAATGATTTCTTTCCTTATAAAAACCTTCAGAGTTGGGTGGTGCAGTCAACTAAGTGTTCAACTCTTGGTTTCAGCTCAGGTTTGATGTCAGGGTCATGAGATTGAGCACAGATTCAGGCTACACATTCAGTGCAGAGTCTGCTCTTTTAAGAATCTTTCTCCCTCTCTCTCTGCCCCTCCCTGCTACACATACAAACTCTCTCTCTCTCTTCCTCTCTCTCTCAAATAAATAAATCTTCAAAGGTGTTTGGCTGTTTTGTTTTTTTTTTCAAGTTTAGGACCATGAATTACAGGGAATGGGAGTATAATATTACTTGGGACCTAGATTTCCAATGAAATTTTTAGTTCTGTTCCTGAAGTAGCTATGCTCAACTTGACATGGTTATGATCCAATTAGATAATCACCTAATATGACAGCTGTCAGGGATAACTCTTAAATTTTACTCAAAGAAAACCTATAAATATACTCATAAACAAGATAGTTTCTCTAAGGATACCTCTAGAAGTTAACAATCTCTTCTCTGAGACAGGATGTTTTTAAATAGTATTTAAAAACTGAAATAACAGCCTCTAACATAACTAGGAATACCCAAGGTAGAATAAAATCTCTCAAAAAATGAAAATTATAGGGAGGAGGGGAAAAAAAAATAAAACCCCTGAAAATTATAGGATCACTACTAACAGTAATATGAGGTATCTTTGGAAGAACAATGTTTTTTTATTAAGATTTCATTTATTTATTCATGAGAGACACACAGAGGCAGAGACATAGGCAGAGGGAGAAGCAGGCTCCCCACAGGGAACCTACTGCAGGACTCCATCCCAGGACCCCAGGATTACGACCTGAGCCAAAGGCAGATGCTCAAGGTAAGCCATCCAGGTGCCCCTGGAAGAATAATCTTATGCTAAAGAATTTCTCTTCCAAATAGTACAGTTCTGATTCAGATACAGTTCTGATTTATTTAGCTGTTATTGTTACTATAATATAAAATACAATAAAAAAGAGAGCAATATTATAAGACATTGGTATTCTATTATTTAGGCAGAATACAAAAGCAATTTGTAAAACTAATGTTCAGAAAACCGAATTCTGAAGGAGAGGAAATTGATACTTCACATTTTAGCAATTTCATCTAGCTGGACTAAAGCTAAGTACTGCTTTGTCTTTTCATATCCTTAAACACGTGGCCTTAAGAATAAGAAAAATCAGGCAGCCCCAGTGGCCCAGGGTTTTGCGCCACCTTCAGCCCAGGGCATGATCCTGGAGACCCGGGATTGCGTCCCACGTCAGACTCCCTGCATGGAGCCTGCTTCTCCCTCTGCCTGTATCTCTGCCTCTCTCTCTCTCTCTGTCATGAATAAATAAATAAATCTTTAAAAAAAAAAGAATAAGAAAAATCATTTCAATTTCATTCACAAGGCAAAAAGATTCTCACAAAGACAGAGTAAACCTAATACGTTCAACATTTTAAGCCTCACAACTAAAAGAGTTGGCAATAACTACCCCTAAGAGCTAGCATAAGCCTTGGAAGCCAGTAGAGCAACACTGTGACCATGCCTAGAAACTTCCTATAGGGACCCAACAGATCCCAGAGGTCTGTCTGGGAGTAAAGGAGAGTGAGTTTTCCCTGACAGAAGCTGGAGGGAAATGCCTAGCTTTGGCGAGCAGTGGGTAAAATGCAAGAGTGAATTATCGGAGGCTGAGGCAGGTTGTCACTACTGCCTAAGCCCAGGCAGAGTCATTTTCCCTTAAACCTATGCTTTCACCTCCTGAATTTTCAATAAATATGAGCTCTCAGAAGTAGGAAGAAAAGTTTGCCAAATACAATTCTGAATGTATCAGCAAATTCATATATATAATATATGATAAAGAAATTATATTTACCTTCACTTTTCCCTGAAAAACAAAAAAAAATATTTATTATTATAATGTCCTTCCAGATGTCACTTTAAAATGCTATAATTGCATAAAAATAAGATTTTGACTAACTGGTTAGTTTTAATTGCTCAGTTCACTCACATAAGCAAAATCTGAGAGAGGTACTCATGACACAACTCTATCTAGTGGCAGTAGGAATTATGCCTGATTCGCTTTAAGGGCATCATCTCCAAGAGCGTGGATAAGGAGTGGTTTCAGGGGATCCCTGAGTGGTGCAGCGGTTTGGCGCCTGCCTTTGGCCCAGGGCGCGATCCTGGAGACCCGGGATCGAATCCCACGTCAGGCTCCCGGTGCATGGAGCCTGCTTCTCCCTCTGCCTCTCTCTCTCTCTCTCTCTCTCTCTCTCTCTCTGTGTGTGTGTGTGTGTGTGTGACTATCATAAATAAAAAAAATTAAAAAATTAAAAAAAAAAGCTAAAAAAAAAAAAGGAGTGGTTTCAGCTTGTACAAGATTTAATATGGGCTGACAGGGGAGAAAAATCTAATCTATCATCTGAGAATACTCTCAAGTATCTTAAGGACTTACAGTTATTTGGCTGGCAGAGCCTTTTTCCACATTTATTTACCCTAAATTTATAACACCGTTTCTGCTAAAGATTTGTGTTCTTGCTTTGAAAACTCCAGACGGACACTGTAAAATTTTACTTGATTCAGGAATTTTACCTGATTCAGGAATATTTTTAGAGACTATTTGTTAAGATTCAAATTATGCACAGTTCAGCAATTAGTAAGCAGCTGCTCATTTACTATTAAAAAAAAACTGTCTTCATTTTGCCCACACTTATTTAATGCCATCATTGTTTATTAAAATAACATATGCTGGGATCCCTGGGTGGCGCAGCGGTTTGGCGCCTGCCTTTGGCCCAGGGCGTGATCCTGGAGACCTGGGATCGAGTCCCACGTCGGGCTCCCGGTGCACGGAGCCTGCTTCTCCCTCTGCCTGTGTCTCTGCCTCTCTCTCTCTCTGTGTGTGACTATCACAAATAAATAAAAATTAAAAAAAATAAAAATAAAAAAATAAAATAACATATGCTCATTGCAAATACATTTTGAAAAAAAAGAGGACACAGACAAAATTAAAAATGTCATCCATAACTCCCTCTGCCCAAATAATAAATACCATTTACATTTTGGTAAATGTCCTTTTTCTTTGCATATAGATATTTAGATATTATATTATGTATGTTTTTATAAAAATATATTGTACATACTGTTTGAGACCTGTTTCCCTTCTTCAATGTGCTATTGGTCATTCCTGACCTAAATGAATAAGTTTTCAGCAGTATTTCTGATGGTTGTATTCTATTACATGAATACACCATAAATCATTTCACCAGTTCCTTAATGATAAACATTTAAATTATTCCCATTTATCTTTATGATAAGTGAGAGTGGTTAATTAATCAGATCAAAATGTGCATCCATACAGAGGATCACCCCTCTGTTTGGAACTGACATTCATCTGATATTAAATGGCTTCCAATGAGTTACCATATGTGACTCATATAAACCCAAGTCCTTGTTTAAAGATGTTCTTTTATTTCTAATCTAAGAAAGACTCGTCTGCCAACATTAAGGGAATGATGCAATCTCAATGCTTTCCAGGAGGAAATTTATGTTTATTGACTACATGAGATCAGCAGCTTTTCAAATAAATTTTAAAAATGAAAAACTTACACATTTCCTAAAAGCACATCAAAGATTTCATCATTAAGCACATATTATGGGAACAGGAATGTATATTTCCTAAGCAAAAAGTTTGAAATCATATACTGAAATGGTTTATTCAACAAACTACTCTGCCTATTACAGACCAGGCAAGGTTTCTGAGTTCCAATTTCACATCTCCTCTGCAACTACACAGTGCCTAGCACATAGGAAATGGAAGGTAATCATCTGTTGAAGGAACAAGTGATCTTTACAATTGTAGACAAGACCATTAAATGAGGAGAGCAGTTTTCATCAATCTTTCATTTAACAAACTACTCCATCTGTTATGTCAGGCTCTCTATTAAGAAATGAAACAAACAAACACTCTCCATATGCCCAAACTAATAGGGTAGATCAATATATCATAGTAAAATAACGCCAGACAGTGGAAAGGTGGTAAGAGAAACAAAATATGACATAAGATCACTTTATAAGAAGAGAGGGGTTACTTCCAGTTAGGAGAGTCAGGGAAGGTGAAAAAGGCAGCATCTGGGGCAATCCCTCAAGTGTGAGGAGAAAATGAAAAATGTTAATAAAACATAAAGACATGTGAATTTGAAGTCAGACTCTCAATATGTATAATCATCTTAGGATCTGAGAAAGATTTGAGGCAAAAGTTTTTTTGGATATTCATTTAGCTAGAAAATGATTTAAAATAGTAAAAAAAAATAAACTAAACACAGATATTATGTAAAAATGCTCAGAAGAATAAATATTTACCAAATCTCCACTTATGACAACCTAATACCATGAACTTCATTACACAAATACTCCTTACTGAGGTATAAATATTTTAAACACCAAGTTCTCTGTAAGGGTGAGGCATAACTTCTATGGAAACAGGAATATGTGATCTCAACTGTTCTTGCCAACCCTTATCTGGCCTTCCTCCTTCTTCTAACCAATGTTCACTGACTATAAATAATATAACAGTGCAAATAAATAACTCACCTTGACCAGAAGCCAAAGGATTTAAAGGTCTTTTAATTGTCTGTGGCCTAGAAACAAAAGAATTGTAAAATATAATTACATTACCTATCATGTTATAATTATCTAAGTAAAAGCGAAATTATCTCAGAGAGTTGCTTAATGACTACATCCAAAATCAAACTGTTTTATTGAGCTATAAAATATTTAGTTTTCTCTAATTGCTTTAAGGGACGGTGGTCATTAGTTATTTTAGCAATTGTTTCTGCTTTTTTCCCATTTAGCAACCAGAAAGCCATTTCCTAATCACTTCTTCAAACAAAGGAAGAAAATACCAGTTAAGCTCTTCTAGAGTCACTAATGTTTTTACATATATTACATACATATATGTGTGCCTACACAAGTGTATACATATATGTTTGTGTGTGGCACAAAGTACATTCCTGACTGAAAGACAAACAAAAAATATAAATACTGAACGCAAGCATTAAAATATAAAGGGGAAAAAACACTGTGGGTAGATTATTTTCCACTTAGTTAATCTTAGGTACATCAAAAGCCCTGCAGCCACCAAGTTTGTTATGATTTCAATAAAAGGTATTTTTATCATACAAAAAAAAATATCATACAAGTTAAAATGTCATTAAAGTGCTTTTAAATCTCAGAATGAATATTCATTAGTATCATTAGTAAAGTGGAGGGATTGCTTTATCTGCAATTTAAATTTTACAAACTCACACAAATTGAGACATTTTGAGAAGAGAATATGTAAGCTATATTTTAACATTCTCAATTTAGTGCATGTATTGTTTGTATTTTAGAAATATTTATACTGGGAATCATGTTATAAATTAGTTAAGAAATAACCACAATACAAATATAAAAATCTAACAAATGCTTCCTAACTCTATTTTAGTTAAAAAACAAAAAAAACAAAAAAAAACTTTGGGGGCATCTGGCTGGCTCAGTCAGTAAAGCATGCAACTATAGATCTCAGGGCTGCAAGTTAGAGCCCCAAGTTGGGTGTTGAGATTAATTAAAAATAAAATCTAAAACAAAACAAAACCTTTAAAGTGAGCCAATTAAATCAAACATTCCTAATAATAAACAAGGGAATTTAAATGAAACACATGGCAAAATTAGTAAATACTGAAAATTCTCCACTTCAAAACTGAAGAAATTCTTTAAGTTATAAAAAGAAACAGACTGACATTTTATTGGTATAAGGATATGGGCTAATCTCTTATATTTGACTTATACAAAGTGAAATGTATTATTACCATATCTAGGAATTCAAAAGATTTTCCCAGAATTCCCCCATCTCTGAGATAGTATAAAGCAAACACACACACAAATTCTTTCCAAAAATCAGTAAGCACATTGTTTAGAGGTCACTAGCTTACAAGTGGGTAAACTTGAAGCATGTCCCAGTGGCATAGTGATTAAAATGACTCTTTCCTTTGTAGTGGTTAAGAGTACAAAGTGGGTTCTTCCACTTACTAGATTTTTGAGACTTGAAAAATCATTTACCTTTTCCAAGTCTCAGTTTCCCCATCCGTAAACAGTGTGACTACAACATAGAGCTATTGCAGGGATTAAAAGAGAAAATGTACATATATGCTTAGCACTAGTCTGGCACACTGTGAGTGTTCAAGTGTTACCTATTATAATTATTCTCTGAAATTAATTTAACTTGAGTTTGAAAGCAGATAAAATAATTATAGCCACAAAAAGATGAATACAAAGCACCAAAAACAATTAGGATGACCTTGGAAAATGAAGTAAACCTGGCTGGCTCTTGGTTACTTCATCTATAAAATGAGATTCTATAATCCACTTAAGGAACATTTGTGAAATGTCCAACAATACTCCTGTAATAGTCTTATACTATTCTGTCTTTTAAAGAAGAAAAAAAAATATTTGTTGAAACACACGTCCACATGTTTCTCCAGAGGAGAACTGGATTAATGAATAAGTATGTTTCCATGTCCAAATACATCTTTTAACAATGTGAATGTGATTTGCAGTTTAAAGTCATTATAATTTGTTTATTTGTTTATAAAGAAAAATCACTATATCCATCAGGATTTTTTAAATGAAAATGACACATACTTAAAACAGTTTTCTTCATAGATGACATTCCAAATCTTCCAAGCATCTGGTCCCTTGTAACCTGTGTAGCGCTCAGGATTAAGGAGTAAATCTACATATTCAGCATCAGGAGACTGTATGTCTATAAAATAAAATGTTTCATTAAATATTTTCTGCAATTACCTTGAAAAACTAGTATAATAAACTAAATTCCACGATCCTAAGGCACCATAAATGTCACAGTGTATCCAAATTTTTTTAAAAAACAACCTTTTGGGGTGTCAGGGGTAAGCTCAGTTGGTTGGATAGCTGCCTTTAGCTCAGGTCATGATCCTGCAGTCCTGGGATAGAGCCCCACATGGGGATCCTTGCTCAGTGGGGAGCCTGCTTCTCCCTTTCCTCCCTCCTATCTGCTGTGCAGTCTCCCTCTCTTTCTCTCTCTCTTGCTCTCAAATAAAATCTTAAAAAAAAAAAAACTTTCACAAGAAAGAAAAGAGAAAAAAGAGGAAAACACAAACAGTCACATTAAATGTACTCACTGGTTACAAAGCATCCTGCCTTTAAAAATGGTAAAAAATAGGAATACATGAATTTTAGAATTGAAAAAACATGGTAATTAAATTTTCATAAGCTATCCAGATGAAAAATATACTCTATATCTCCCTCCACATTAACCACAAGCGGTTCATCAATAACTAAGGTAAATGAAGATGTGTTACTACCAAATATTATCAAAAACTTCCTTCTTACATGACCACCATGAAGATCCACTACAAAGCTGTCCCAAAAGTATAATCCTAGACATGCAAAAAGGTATAAGTAGGAAGATCCTTACATCAGCATTATTTATTAAAGAGAAAATCAGAAGCAACCCAACCATCCAATAGAGCAGAACACAGGCTCTGGAGCCAAAGTGCCTGGTTACAATCCAAGCCCTACTACTCATTCAGTGTCAAACCCAAGGCAAATTATATATGTTCTTTATGCATTGGTGCTGTCATTTATAAAATGGAGATAATACTTGGTGTTACTGTGAGACTTAAGTTTATACGTGCAAAGTACTTAGAACAATGCTAAGAGTATGATACATATTAGCTAGTGATGTTGTGATATATCTTAACAGACCATTTTACAATCAACAAAACTGCTAAGTACAAAGGCTATCTAATAAAATGAAAAAATAAGCATTACAGAAAAGTCAATTACAGATAGAAATGAAAAACAACAAAAATTGGTGAGACATTACTTTCTCATATGTTCTATAAATTTGTGTAATGTATTGTAACTTTGAAACAAAAAAAAATGGCCCCTCATTCCCCAGGGGCTTTGGGAAATTATTTAATATACAGTAATACTATAAATTATTTAATGAGTAATTACTCATGTATAAAGCCTAACAACATGAACAAAAAAATGAAAAAGTGGGCAAAAATGGCCTCAAAGCAACCAAAGTAGATGACAAAAATCTGAGCACACAGGTGCTTATAAGAAGGCCCATCAAGCTCTCAACAGTACCTACTTCTTATTAAAAACACAATAAAAAAATATAAACAAGCTTGGTTATTTTTATCCCAATTGACAGTACATTAGAGACTTTTTGGGAATTTTTGCTTCTAAAAGTAGCACAGTGACAGCATCTAGAAATAACTGAGAGTCCATGCAGAAGCGGCAATTAAAATAATTAGAAAAAGTAGAAATAAAAACTTAGAAAAGGGACACATAGCTGGTTCAGTCAGTAGAACATGTGACTCCCAATCTTGGGGTTGTTAGTTTAAGCCCCACGTTGGGTGTAGAGATTATTTAAAGAAAAAAAAAATTAAAACAAATTTACCTGGAATCCTCTGGTTCAAGAACAGAGATACTTCTGTTCATCTCAACTAATACTAAAAGTATTGCCAAAGAACAGCAAATTATGATACATTCATAAAAATAACCCTCATTTTAAAAACATGAGTAATGCTCAGCATCTAGTACTTTTAAGACAGAAAACTACCAAGAAATGTCTAAAGTTTTTATATTATGTCTAATTAGACATAAATTAGTTGACTCATAATTTTACTTATAACAAATACTTAATCTCACCTCAAATTTTTAATAAAAAATAATTAATATAACAATATTTTGCCAGATGACAAAAGCTCAAATTTCTAAATTAAAATTTATAAAATATCTTGTCTTCTACCTACCATTTATACACATTATATCTTTTTTATAAAGCTATCCTTTCTTTTTCATCCTCCTGTAGCAGAAGAAACAAATATGAATGGATAAGTGATTCATCCAAGATAACAGAATTCCATCAGATAACAATTATTGATTTTCACTCCTTGCTACACAAACATAAGCAGATAGTTTCAAAAGCATACTTTGCTAAATGAAGTTAAAGCATTACTGTTCTTAACACTGCAGATCTAAGAAAGAAAAACGCATGTTTTAAATTTAATTTTATTTCCCTTTTAATTAGAAAAATTATTTATTTCTGCTCCTTTCATACATCTTATTGTGCAGAAACAGTCTCACACATATCTGAATAATATACTGTCACACTGTTTACAGGCAAAGCACCATAGGTAAAGCTGATCAGAGTTCTCAGCTTATGGGATCTCGCTTCCTGATTTTACATTAATTTTTGAAAGTCAGAAATGTCATCTCCACAAAATGTTAAGGGGGCTGTAAGAAATAATCACTTTATTCAATATTATAGTTGTGGAAATGGGAGTATACTTTCTTTAAGAAATGAAAAACTAAGAAGAAAATGCCACTAAACATCACTGGTGTGTCAGTACAGGTCAGCAGGAGAAATACTGTGAGAAGTTTGTCTCTTTGATACCAAGAAGACATTCTAGTTCAAGCTTTAATATGATTCCTATTTCTCACGAGATGCTTCTTTTCTGCTGCTTCACTCTTTTTCCATATTTCATATCAGAGGATTGGTTACAGCCTTTAAAACTTCATTAACAGGAGCAAATCCAATATCCACAGATTTCTTGTCAAAAGGCATTTTTTAACCCATCAGGTAGCCTGGCAGTTTCATTCTCATGAATACTCTAGCCATGAAAAAACTCAACAGGACACAGACGAATCCAATGAATAGAAGAAGAAATCTATTGAGTTTTGGATGTTTGGTGCATTCGATTGGTCCAGGATTATGAAACCTAAACCTCCCATTGTAAACAGGAAGATGGATGCAAGTCCTTCCATAACATATTGTCCATTTACTCTGTAGGCCAAGAAAGCTACAGGTCTCTGATGTCCATGTTCATCAGTCATAGAACCAACACTTGGAGGTTCAACAATAACATCATAAATTATTCCTCCAGTGATGAGGAAGTAAGACACCACCACCAGAGCGTACACCGTCATGGCCGACGGTATGTGTACCCAGGGCAGCTTCTTCAGCTTCAGGTTGGGGCATTCGAGCACTAAGAACGGGACACGGTACAAGGTCTCCATGTTGGTGGTGGCAGGGGTTTCTCTCTCCTTAATTTTATTTCAATAGTAATGTTTAGGCCAAAGAATCTTTGTGGACAAGACAGTAAGGTTTAGAGGTTGGGAGATCATTTTATCCTCCCCCCTTTCCTAGTCTAAACCTTAGTGTAAGTCCACAACTCCTTATCCAACATCCCTGGGGTCAAATGTGTTTTGGAATTCAGAACTTTTCAGAATTCAGAAAAGTACTATAACATATGCAACATGTACTGAATATTACTCCAAGAGGGACTGGGGCAGCAACTCTTAATCATAATACCAAAAATACTTCTGTAGTGAAACATGTGCATACTCATACTAAATGAGTCTGTGCTAGACTTGAGAAAATATTCATTTTCAGATTTTAGAATTAGAAATAAAGGATTATAAATATTATTTGCCAAGGCATAATCATGTTTTACACTAAGGAAAGCATGTTTCTTTTTTTTTTTTTTTTCCAAAATGAAACCACAGAGTTAAAAATAAGTACTTTCCCTTAGCCTTCCTCTTTTCAGGGGGAATTGCAGGATTTGTCTCTTGCTTGCAATTAAAATGATCTGTATCATTCTTTTTGCTAATTTTTTTTAAAGATCATTAATCTGCTTCAAAAGAGCCACTGAAGGATACCAAAACTCAATTTGATTTGGGTTTGTTTAGCCAATTAAAAGGCTAACAATTCAACTTAGAAAAAGGAAGAATGGGAGAATCTATAAATCTGATTAAAGGGTTCTAATAGGTCCTTTAATTTGGATATGTAACAATCCAAGGCCAGTACAACAAAAGCAAGCTTTTGCAATCTAAATATCTACATTTGAACTCTTTATGCAAAATGCCTGTGTATATTTTACAAAATTTTATATATGTATATATGTTTATATATATGTATATGTTTATAAATATGTATATATGTATCTGTTTACGTGTTTATATGTGTATAAATGTATATGTGTGTGTGTATATATATGTATGTGTATATATATGTATGTGTGTGTATATATATATATATATATATACACACACACACTACTAAGATACACAGGGGGTCAATTTTTTCCAGAAACTGAGGGTTTGGTTTTTTTTTTTTTTTTAACTGCGGTAAAACGTATATAACGTAAAACTTACCATTTTAACCAGGTTTAAGAATACAATTCAGTGACATTAATTATATTCAGGACATTGTGCAACCATCACCACTAACTGTTTCCAAACTTTTCTATGTCCTCAAACTGAAACTCTGTAACCATTAAAAATTAACACCCCATTCTCCCCTTCTCCTAACCTCTGGTTACTCTGTCTCTATCACCTTGCCTATTCCAGATATTTTATGTAAATGGAATCATACAATGGTTGTCCTTTTGTGTCTGATTTCTTTCTTTTTTTTTTTAAAGATTGTATTTATTTATTTGATAGAGAGAGAGAGAGAGAGAGAGAGAGAGAACCTGCACAACCTGAAAAAGAGGAAGAGGGAGAAGCAGATGCCTGCTAAGCAGGGAGCCCAATGTGGGGCTTGATCTGGGGAGACGCTGGGATTATGACCTGAGCAGAAGGCAGACATTTAACTAACTGAGCTACCCAGGCACCCCCTGGCTTATTTCACTTAGCATAGTATTTTCAAGATTTATCCATGTTGCAGGATATATCAAAACTCTGTTTCTTTTTATGGCTAAATAATGTTCCCGTGTATGTATTTATTACACTCTGTTTATCCATTCATTTGTTGATGGATATTTGGGTCATTTCTACCTTTCAGCTATTATGAATGATGCCACCATGAATATGGGTATACAAGTATGTATCTGTTCCCCCACCTTCAATCTTTTTTGGCACATATTTAGGAGTTGAATTGTTAGGTAACATGGTAATTTTGTCTTTAACTTTTTAGGAACTTTAGAAACGGAGTTCCAGAAACTGTTTTTAAAATATTTTTTTTCTTAGACCCAATTTTAAACAAAATGCCCACAATAAAAAATGTTATTACCATCAGCTTCACAGAAGTTGTCTGAGGAATCATCATGCTTGGTCCACTGAAGAACAGCCTTCTGTGTTTCCTCACTTCAAATAACGAAAAAAGGTACCCTTTTTTAAGTAAACATTTCACAAGAAAAAAACAAATACTACTGCAAAAAAATTAATTAACCTTAGAGATTCATCCACAGCTCCAAGTCGTTCAGCTTGTTCACATTCTTCAATGAGGTTATTGGCTACCTCAGAATACTAAAAGGAAAGGAGAATAAGCAGATTACAATTTAGTGCATTTTTAAAACTTTTTAAAAGAATTTCAGGGTGTTATTCTGTATGTTGGTAAATTGAACACCAATAAAAAATTAATTTATTAAAAAAAAAGAATTTCAAAATTATTCAAAGTTCTTTTAAGGGGCACCTGGGTGGCTCAGTCGGTTAAGCATCTGCCTTTGGCTCAGGTCGTGACCCCAGAACTCCTGGATAAAGCCCCATACTGGGCTCTCTGCTCAGCAGGGAGTCTGCTTCTCCCACTTTCCCTCACCCTGCTCTTGTTCTCTCTCACTCACTCTGTCTCTCAAAAAAATGAATAAAATCTTTAAAAATAAAAAAGTTCTTTTATATCTATACTATTTCCTTAGCTTCAAAACTTAAAAAAAAAAAAAAATCAACATCACTAAATATCTCCCCTGAAGCTAAAACAAAACAAACATAAAAGGCTTTGCTCGTTTTTGTTGGTGAACACATTTGCCACATGGTCACAAAATAAAGAATGTACTTCTGATAACTCATTACCAAGCTGTTCACCAAGAAAATCAAAGGTCTAAGGAATCCTAGGCATCATGAGGTAATGTCCCACTTTTTTTTTTTTCCATGCCCAGTGTGGAGCACAACATGGGGCTTAAATTCACAACCCTGAGATCATGACCTGAGCTGAGATCAAGAGACGCTTAACTAACTGAGCCACCAAGGCACCCCAATGTTCCACTTTTCTAATGGCCTAATTGTAAGCATCAGTCAGTCTTCTTTTCCATAAGTAAGTGGTTGGACCAGATGATGTGTGCCCAGCTCTATCTCAACTCTATATGCCATGATTCTATATATGCTCTGGAACTCATCAAGTCTTATAAAAAAGTATTCCAATATCTTTAAGTGTTTAAAATATGTTCTTTAGCAATCACCTTTCTTCTCAATGTCTAAGACACACACACACACACCACACACACACACACACACTATTCTGCTAGGCATGTATCTGGCACAGGGGAAGTAAATGCAGATCCTAAGATTTCACAACACATTAGTCATCACCACCAAAGGGCTAAAAGATAACATCAGAAGCAGAAGGCACAGATTCAATCACTCAACAAATATTTATTGAGTGCGCTTATTGTTCTGATGACCACACTAACGACTGCCCAGCCTATGACACTTCTGAGGATAAAAGAGAACACTAAAAACCCTGAACTGAGACAATTTTTTGAAATGTTTATTGAATAACAACTTTGTTTCATTACATTGGTTGACCTATAAGGCAGCTCAATTTGAACACTATTTTCAAAAATAAAATTCTTTCTACATAATTATTAAGGGGTAAAAGGGGATATGATATATTCAATCTACTCTCAAATGGTTCTGAAAATAATATATACATAGATATAGGATGATAACACAAATGAGGCAAAATATTAAAAACTAGTGAATTGTAGAGTACACAAGAGGTGTTTATATTAATCTTGCAACTTTTCTATAAACTGTTAATTAGCTCAAAATAAAAAGTTAAAATACACATCAAAAAATGAACAAAATTTGCTCAAAAAGCAACATATCTATGTATGTTAAAAAAAATTAAAATCCTTATCAGAATTATCTAAATATTAAAACAGAAGTTGGGACATCCGAGTGGCTCAGTGGTTGAGCAACTGCCTTTGCCTCAGGGTGTGATCCCAGGGTCCTGGGATCGAGTCCCACATCAGGCTCCTTGCATGGAGCCTGCTTCTCCTTCTGCCTATGTCTCTGCCCCTCTCTCTGTGTCTCTCATGAATAAATAAATAAAATCTTAAAAATAAATTAATTAAATAAAACAAGTTAACCATATTTTTTTTTACTATTCTTAGTTTCTAACAATTTAATCAGTTTTGTTAAGTCACAAATGTCTTGATTTAAAGATTTTTTTTTAATTTATTCATTCATGAGCGACACAGAGGCAGAGACATAGGCAGAGGGAGAAGCAGGCTCCACCCAGGGACCCTGATACAGGACTGGATCCCACGGCCCCAGGATCACAACCTGACCTGAAGGCTCAACCATTTAGCCACCCAGGTGCCCCAGATGTCTTGATTTTAAATCACTGGCATTTTCCTGAGAAAAAAAAAATTTTTCTAATTTATCATTTTTAATTTTTTCATAAAACTGCCCATAATCTTCAAAGTTAATTTTTATGGCTAGTCAACTTGAAATCATTACCCTAGATTAACTCTTCTCTGTAGATACAATTTTTAATTGAGAAAAATATTCTCTCTACAGGTATAAATATGTGAAAATATTTTAAATCAAGTATTTTCACAAGGTCTATTCTTTTGCCTTCAAAGTATGTTTCTTCACTAAACATTTTAAGACAAAACTCATCAAATAATGTTTCTCTTTTTTGTTATTTTAAATGTTTTGCAAATATAGATGCTACAAAATTGTAAGCCTTATTTCATTCCATTTCAGATGAGAATTTAAATTTATCCAATTAAAAACAAGAGTTTCATCAAGAAGAGACTGGGATGCCTGGGTGGCTCAGTGGTTAAGCGTCTGCCTTTGGCTCAGGGCGTGTGCTGGAGTCCTGGGATGGAGCCCCACATCGGGCTCCCTGCATGGAGCCTGCTTCTCCCTCTGCCTGTGTCTCCGTCTCTCATAAATAAATAAATAAATAAATAAATAAATAAATAATAATAAATAAAAATAAATAAATAATCTTTTTTTTTTAAAGAGACTCTTCCTACAAGAGGAGATACTCCAAAAACACAATTATAAAATTCCACAAGTAAAGCTTAAATATTATTTGAACTTTCCCCACTTAATGTGTTCAATCCCACCCTAGCTTTTGTAGGAATAAATTTCGACATCTTTGTTTAAAAGCTTTGTTATAATAACTGCAATTTGCTAACCCTTCAAAAGCTAAGAACTTTTTTCTTTAAGCATTCCATTCATCGATACTTTGAATAATGACTTTCCACTGATTTTAAACATATTGCAATTGACATTTCGAGATCTCACATATTAAAAATTGGTTAATACCACTGAAGGACTCTTGGGTGGTTTCCAAAGGCTCAAATACTTATAAAATCTGATTGATGATGCACAGCAAAGAAAGTCTATGCTTCCTGTCTATGCCAAAGTAATATTTATTCCAGGATTAGTTTCACCTCAAAAATTTTATGGTTATTAAGTGTCTATCTAAATATAAAAACCTGTATATTTTGACAATTACCACTTTTTTTAAGATTTTATTTATTCATGACAGAGAGAGAGAAAGAGAGAGAGAAAGAGAGAGGCAGAGACACAGGCAGAGGGAGAAGCAGACTCCATGCATGGAGCCTGACATGGGACTAGATCCCAGGTCTCCAGGATCACACCTCAGACTGAAGGCGGCACTAAACCGCTAGGCCATCAGGGCTGCCCCAACAATTACCACTTCTTTTTAAGATGTATGTATGTATGTATGTATGTATGTATGTATTTATTTATTTATTTATTTATTTATTTATTTATTTGAGAGAGAGCACAAGCAGGGGAGCAGCAGAGGGAGAAGGAGAAGCAGCTCCCATTAATTAGGGAGCCTGATGTGGGACTCGATCCCAGAATCGAATGGGATGACACAAGCCAAAGGCAGACACCCAACCAAATGAGCCACCCAGGAGCCCCACCACTTCTATCTTATTTGGTAAAATATCACAGCATGTTTGGACACAATTATGAATTATACGTATATCTTTTTTTAAGATTTTATTTTTAGATGATCTCTATACCAATGTGGGGCTTGAACACACAATCACGAGATTAAGAGTCACATGCTCTACTATCTGAACCAGCCAGGTGCCCTTGAATTATGTATATATTAGCCAACTACATTCATTTCTGCTCCACAGATTTCTTGATTTAATCAGAATTGTTTTTACCAAAATTTGTATATTATCACCACAAAACAAATATTTTGTCTTCAATTTTGAGCTTTAAATGAATTTATAATTGCATCGGCAATAGGGACAAATGTTTTCCCTCAATAGAATGAAATTCCAAAAGTTTTGAGTCCATCAAATTAATTTTAAAAATCTAACAAATTTTGGAATTAAATGACTTTCTACTTAAAACAGCCAATAATGGCATCACTGAACTATGTGCAAAGTTCTGCCACTGAAGCCAATACATTAATAGCTATGACTTCATTCTTTGTATGCAAACAAGAAAACATGGAATCAAAATGAGCAAATTATTTTAGACCTATAGTGGAAAAAGTGAATAGTGGTTGCCCCAAGGGGAAAAAGTAGAAATTGATTGGGATAGGATATCAAGTGACTTTCCAGGGTAATGGTAATGTTCTCTCTATTGTAACAGAAGTATAGATTACACAGGGATATACATTTAGCAAATGCACACTTAAGATTTGTGCATCTTGGGATGCCTGGGTGGCTCAGCGGTTGAGCATCTGCCTGTGGCTCAGGGCATAATAGCTGGGTCCTGGGATCAAGCCCTGCATCGGGCTCCCTGCATGGAGCCTGCTTCTCCTTCTGCCTGTATCTCTGCCCCTCTCTCTCTCTCTCTCTCTCTCTCTCTCTCTCTCTCTGTTTCTCATGAATAAATAACTAAAATCTTAAAAATAAAAAAGATTTTGTGCATCTCATTGTATGTTAATTTTATAAAAATACATTATAAGTAATACTGGACTCTACTTAATGATATACTTCTAGTTGTGTGTGTATGTTTGTGTGTGTGTGTGTGTGTGTGTGTGTGTGTGTGTGTGTGTATATAGTTGATGACACATTTAGGGCAATGTGTACTGATGCTTGCAATTTACTTTGAAATACATCCAGAAAATAATCTTTTTACTGTATAACTAGAAAGATGGACAGATACATATATGATAATGTAAGTTTACAAAAATGTTAACAGTAGAATCCACCTGATGGTTATGCATGTTCACAGGAAAAGTCCTTCAACTTTGCTGTATATATGAAAATCTTCATAGTAACACCAGAAAATTTTAATTCAGAAGAGTTTAGTCTAAATGAAAAATCACATATGCCAGAATGATATGTAAGTACACCACTGCAGCTATACATGTTTAGTTTTTCCAAAAAAAGATTTTATTTATTTATTTGAGAGGAAGAGAGAGAGAGAGAGAGTCCACCAAAGGGAGTAGGGAGTGAGGGAGAGAGAGAACCTCAGATTCCCTGCTGAGCGTAGAGCCCGAGGTGCTGGATCTTACCACCTTGGGATCATGACAAAGCCAAAACCAAGAGCTAGATGCTTAACCAATTGTGCCACCCAAGTGCCCCAAGTTATCATTTTTAGTTTTCTTAACCACTAATTTATGAAATAGATGCTTAGGCTTTATCAGTAGATTTGGGTGTTCTGGTGTTCATACAGTCAGATAGTTCTATGGCCCTTGTGGATGGTAAATGATGACCTTTTGTGAAGGTTACATATCACCAATAACTGCTTGTCATGAGATTTCTAAATGTAATACTTTTTTCATTAAGCATATACTTCTTTTTTTCTTTCTTAGTTATCTTGGCCGATAGGATTCACTGTAAAAATATTTTTAATTACTGGCTTGCCTGGGTGGCTCAGTGGGTTAAACATCTACCTTCATCTCAGGTCATGATCCCAGGGTCCTGGGATTGAGCCCATCGGGTTCCCCGCTCAGCGGGAAGCCTGCTTCTCCTTCTCCCTCTGCCTGCCACTGCCCCTGCTTATGCTCGCTCTTTCTTTCTCTGTGTCAAATATAGAAATAAAATATTTTTAAAAAAACGTTTTAAGTTACTAAATAGTAAAATAAGTTGTTGATTTATGCTATACAAAAAAGTATAAAACCAAAATAAGTTTTATATGCAGGATCGCTAACCATTTATTTCCCATATATATATTTTTCATAAACCTGACCCATAATTTGCCAAGTTTAACACTGACCAGTCAAATGGCAGCCTGGAAGCTTAGGACATTCACAGGTATGACACAGGCCACAGCACAGTTGGCTGCTAACTCTAAAAGACCAGCAGGGAAGAATGTCCAATGATGTTCCCCCTACTTCCCAAGACTGTAAGGAGTCAGCAGTCCCCAGATATTGTGTCTGCCGGCAATTATTTTATCAGCAAGTATTTTATCGCCCATTATATTTTCTTTGAAAAATCATTTATTTAGAAAAGGTCAGAAAAAGAAGTGCAAGTTATTATTGGTCATCTTAGTGTTAAGGTAAGAACTCGTTAGTGTACATATATCTTAAATAGAGGAGACGATAAGAGGAAGCTAGAAATACAAAGTATTTGGTCAATCAAATCCATCTCAACTTACTTTAATGCAACTATTAATATTCTATTTAAAAAATTCAGACAATGATAAACTCAGGACAAATGATAAATCATTCAGGATGCCAGAAAAACAGGCAAAAACCAGTTCTGCCTCAGGTAAGCCTTGGCATATGGTCTCTTGATGTACTCTTGTTACTCTCTAAATGTTTTGGATTTTACTCCAAGAGAGATGGAACTCATAAGATTTTCAACAAAAGAAAGATACAATCTGATTTCTTAAAAAAAAAAAAAAAATCACTCTGGCTGCTGTCTTTAGAAGAGACAATAGGAGGGGATTCCTGGGTGGCGCAGCGGTTTGGCGCCTGCCTTTGGCCCAGGGCGCGATCCTGGAGACCCAGGATCGAATCCCACGTCGGGCTCCCAGTGCATGGAGTCTGTTTCTCCCTCTGCCTGTGTCTCTGCCTCTCTCTCTCTCTGTGTGACTATCATAAATAAATAAAAAAATTAAAAAAAAAAAAAGAAGAGACAATAGGGATGCCTGGATGGCTCAGTGGTTGAGCATCTGCCTTTGGCTCAGGTCATGATCCAGGGGTCCTGGGATTGAGTTCCACATCGGGCTCCCTGCATGGAGCCTGCTTCTCCCTCTGCCTGTGTCTCTGCCTCTCTCTCTGTGTGTCTCTCATGAATAGATAAATAAAATCTTTAAAAAAAAAAAAAAAAGAGAGAGAGAGAAAATAGAGAGGCAAGGGCAGAAGTAGGCAGCCCATTTAAGAGGCTACCACAATAATCCAGGCAAAAACTGATTATAGCTTTAAAGATTAAGATTCTGGGTATATTTTAAAACTCTGTAATCACAAATCGAATTTGGCCTACCAAAAAAGGCCTTGAAACAATTAACAATCCCCTAACAATTAGCATCCCCTAAAGCCCAGATTATAATTTTGAAACAACATTTCATGCTAAAAGAAGTAGGACTTCTTGGAAAAAAAGGTTATTTTCAAGAAATTAGAAAGAAAGGTACAAAATTAGCCTAGAAGATCTTTTTATAAGAAACCAAAAAGTCTACTAAGACTACTGGGATCTGGGCAGCCCTGGAGGCTCAGTGGTTTAGTGCCACCTTCAGCCCAGGGCGTGACACTGGAGACCCAGAATCAAATCCCACGTCTGGCTCCCTGCATGGAGCCTGCTTCTCCCTCTGCCTGTGCCTGTGCCTCTCTCTCTCTCTGTCTCTCTCTCTCTCTCTCTCTCTCTCTCTCTCATGATTGAATAAATAAATTCTTAAAAAAAAATTACTGGGATCATCTCAAAAGGCCACAGTCACTAACTTAAAGGAGCTCCTAATGTATACAATGGAATATTACTCAGCCATTAGAAACGACAAATACCCACCATTTGTTTCGACATGGATGGAACTGGAGGGTTATTACGCTGAGTGAAATAAGTCAATCGGAAAAGGACAAACATTATATGGTCTCATTCATTTGGGGAATATAAAAATTAGTGAAAGGGAATAAAGGGAAAGGAGAGAAAATGAGTGAAAATATCAGTGAGGGTGACAAAACATGAGAGACACCTAACTTTGGGAAACGAACAAGGGGTAGTGGAAAGGGAGGTGGGCAGGGGTTTGGGGTGACTGGGTGATGGGCACTGAGGGGGGCATTTGGCAGGATGAGCACTGGGTGTTATGCTAAATGTTGGCAAACTGAACTCCAATAATTAAAAAATTAATTAATTAATTTTAAAAATTTAAAAATCTAAAAAAAATTTTTAAAAAGAAGGAGCTCCTAGTGGCCAAAGGCGGAACAACTCAAGCATCAAAAGGAATAAAAAAATGACTACAATAGAGTCTAACACATTATGAATTTATGAGTTTTGACTTTTTTAATAACACTTAAAAATGAAAACTCTTGGGGATCCCTGGGTGGCTGAGTGGGTTGGCACCTGCCTTTGGCCGAGGGCGCGATCTTGGAGTCCTGGGATCGAGTCCCATGTCGGGCTCCCTGCATGGAGCCTGCTTCTCCCTCTGCCTGTGTCTCTGCCTCTCTATGTCTATCATGAATAAATAAATAAAATCTTTAAAAAATAAAATAAAATAAAAATAAAAAATAAAAACTCTTGACTAAAGAGGACACTTGATGGGATAAGCACTGGGTGTTACACTATATGTTGGCAAACTGAATTTAAATTAAAAAATTAAAAAAGAAAAAGATTTTAAAAATAAAAAAATAAAAACTTTGAGGCATCTGCCTTCAACTCAGGTCATGATTCCAGGGTCATGGGATCCAGGCCCATATCAGGCTCCCTGCTTAGCAAGGAGTCTGCTTCTCCCTCTACCTCTCCCTCTGCTCATGCTGGCTCTCTTTCATTCAATCAATCAATATAACCGAAACCTTATTGGGCATCTTTGGAGGTGCCAGGACTCCAAACTCATAATTAATCTGAAAACTGGTAAACAAAGGAAAAGAATGAAGCATTTATCTTGTCCATCCTGTATAATCTGTATTTCAAGGCATCCAGATAGTTGACAAGAAAAGGTCTTTATAGAAATACAACAGATAATAAGTAGAGAAAGAATGATATAATTAGAATATCAGCATTTTCAAAACTGAAAGAATGCAATAGGTAATGATCATCAAAGCTGCTAAAATTTTCAGGGAAAAAACGAGTAGGGAACTGTATAGTGAACCTAATGACCAATCTTAATTTCATGAGAAAAAAGAAAGCCAGACATTATGTGTCTTTTGATATGATGTAAGAGTAAGTATACAGCAACACTAATCAATATATATCCGAAAATGAATCTGAAAAGCTATAATATATAACCACCAGTTTACAGAATACAATGTGTTGAATGATGATGTGACAGGGATACAATCAGTGGAAAGTTCTCTAGGATAAGGACTCATTTCCTTCAACAGATAAGTTTGCAAAGAAAGAAAAAAGAAGAGGGAATGGACATAGGTTAAAGAGTTAAGTGGAGCCTAGGTGGCTCAGCCAGTTAAGGTTAAGCATCTGCCTTCAGCTCAGGTAATGATCCTAGGGTCCTAGGATTGATCCCCACATCATGCTCCCTGCTCCAGGTGGAGTCTGCTTCTCCTCTCTCCTGCTTATACTCTATCTCTGTCTCTCTCTCAAATGAATAAATAAATTCTTTTTTAAAAGACAGAGGGACGCCTGGGTGGCTCAGCGGTTGAGCACCTGCCTTTGGCCCAGGGAGTGATCCTGGATTCCCAGGATTGAGTCCCGCATCAGGCTCCCTGCAAGGAGCCTGCTTCTCCCTCTGCTTGTGTCTCTGCCTCTCTCTCTGTCTCTCATGAATAAATAAATTAAACCTTAAAAAAAAGAGAGAGAGAGAGAGAGACAGAAATACACAAGCAGTGCCAGAAAATAAGGAAAGGAGGGGAGTGGAGTCATACCTGGCAAGGGAAATGAATTTTATGAATTTTTTTGTTAAGATAATAGACACATTAGTAAGTATGTGTATATACCTTGTAGCTTGCAGATTTAATTCCATCAGGAACTTCATCCTAAAAAAGAAAAAAAATGTTTTTATCAGATATTTTTTCTATGTTCTGAAAAAAACTTTTAAGTTTCTATGATTTATGAGATTATTTTTATTTTTTTAAGTTTATTTTATTTATTTAAGTAATCTCTATACCCAGTGTGGTGCTCTAACTCATGACCCCAAGATTAAGAGTCACATGATCTTCCAAACTGAGTCAGCCCGGCGCCCCTATGAGATTACTTTTAAACTGAAATAGTCAGTTTTTATACTATTTCTTAAAAGTAAACAAAAACCCAACAAATTATTAAAATATATGAACAGCAACCTAGAGAATACCTCATAATATCACAGAAATGTAAAAATAGTTACTCCTTTTGATGTTCAAATTGTCCCACACTGGCCACTAGGGGACCCATAAAGTGCTGACTTGTTATCTGCACCTGTCTCCTATTGATATGACCTCAGTAATCTTTAGCAGCATTTTCCATATTCTTTTATGACAAGATACTCCAGGCTCACCGTGTATATTTCTTGTTCCAGTCCTGGAGTTGACTGTTTTTTAAGGAGCCCTAGTTCTTTTCAGAGGAAAATGGTACTGGTTTTAGTCAGTGTTGGCCACTAACCAACTATAGGACCTATCTGTATATCCTCAAAGTGATGCTGTGAATAGACACAATGATGTATGTACTCTATAAATTGCAGGACCCTATTCCAGTGCTAAGTGTATTTCTGAAATAGATCCTACCTGCCCAAAGGGAATGATCCACACAGAGATAAACACTTTATTGTGTAACTTTCCAGAATTCTTTTTCTAAGACCAGATATTTAGAGGGTTTCTAATTTTTTCATATCATGCCAAATTTATAAACTAATTTCAGCAGAATTGACACCTTTACAATATTTATTACTGCTTTACAGTCATCTTTGAACATCTGTCCAATTATTTTAGTAAGTGAAAATCCTGGTGGACCAGCAGATGGGATTTAGGAGGACACATGACAAGATGAGCATAGGGTATTATATGCTGGCAAACTGAATTTAAATAAAAATTTTGTTTAAATCCTGGTGGAATTACTAGACCAAAAAATGTGGACCTTTTAAATTTTGTTGATACATTTGCTGAACTGATCTCCAAAAGGATTTAACCACCAGAGTATGCATTTCTTATTCACAAACTAACAGTGGATATTGTTATTTGTTTTCACATTGGTCAATTAATAATAGAGGGGAAAAAACATTGTTTCAACCCATCATAAAGGTAATAAATAATTGGCCTCTCAGTTTATAGAGTCCAGGCTGCGAGTTAAAGCCCCACGTTGGGTGTGTAGAGACTACTTAAAAATTAAATGTTTAGGGATGCCTGAGTTTCTTATTTCTTAGTTAAGCATCTGACTCTTCATCTCAGCTGAGGTCTTAAATTTCAGGGTCATGAGCTCAAGCCCCCAAAAATAGAAATATTTTTTAAAAATTTCTTAAAATAATGATGAAATTCAAATTTTTAATAATTGCAAAACCACTTGCTTAGTTCTGACCAATAATAATGGCCCATTTAATGTATAAGTGCAATTAAATGCCTTTATTATCTACCATATATTTAGCATGCTTAATAAGTCATAAGTAAGTTATTGGTAAACTTGAATTTCCCCAACTACTATATACTACTAAATATAAATGCTAGAACTTAGGAAATAAAATGAAACTTTTAAAATGATGATATCATTTTAATGATATTATCATAACAGGTTGTTTCACAAGTTAATTCTTGAATTTTCAAAAAGCTTTGTCTATGAGGATATGTTTAATAGGCATTGCTGGTGGGAATATAAAATGGTGCAGGTACTGTGAAGACAGTATGATTTCCTCAAAAAATTAAACACAGAACAACCATATAATCCAGTAATTCTAATTCTAGGTGTATACCCAAAAGAACTGAAATTAGGAACACAAACAGATACTTGTGCACCCGTATCCAGAGCAGCATTATACACAATGGCCAAAAGATGGGAATAACCCAAAAGCCAATCCATAGGAGAAGGAATAAATGAAATGCAGATACACATAAAATGCAGCATTATTCAGCCTTAAAAAGGAATATAATTCAAATACATGCTACTAAAGACATGAAGAGAAATCTCACAGAGGAAGACATAGACATGGCCAACATGCACATGAGAAAATGCTCTGCATCACTTGCCATCAGGGAAATACAAATCAAAACCACAATGAGATACCACCTCACACCAGTGAGAATGGGGAAAATTAACAAGGCAGGAAACCACAAATGTTGGAGAGGATGCGGAGAAAAGGGAACCCTCTTACACTGTTGGTGGGAATGTGAACTGGTGCAGCCACTCTGGAAAACTGTGTGGAGGTTCCTCAAAGAGTTAAAAATGGACGTGCCCTACGACCCAGCAATTGCACTGTTGGGGATTTACCCCAAAGATTCAGATGCAATGAAACGCCGAGACACCTGCACCCCGATGTTTCTAGCAGAAATGTCCACAATAGCCAAACTGTGGAAGGAGCCTCGGTGTCCATCGAAAGATGAGTGGATAAAGAAGATGTGGTCTATGTATACAATGGAATATTACTCAGTCATTAGAAACGACAAATACCCACCATTTGCTTCAACGTGGATGGAACTGGAGGGTATTATGCTGAGTGAAGTAAGTCAATCGGAGAAGGACAAACATTATATGTTCTCATTCATTTGGGGAATATGAATAATAGTGAAAGGGAATATAAGGGAAGGGAAAAGAAATGTGTGGGAAATATCAGAAAGGGAGACAGAACATAAAGACTCCTAACTCTGGGGGATCCCTGGGTGGCGCAGCGGTTTAGCGCCTGCCTTTGGCCCAGGGCGCGATCCTGGAGACCCGGGATCGAATCCCACGTCGGGCTCCTGGTGCATGGAGCCTGCTTCTCCCTCTGCCTGTGTCTCTGCCTCTCTCTCTCTCACTGTGTGCCTATCATAAATAGATAAAAATTAAAAAAAAAAAAAAGACTCCTAACTCTGGGAAACGAACTGGGGGTGGTGGTGGAAGGGGAGGAGGGCGGGGGGTGGGGATGAGTGGGTGAAGGGCAGTGAGGGGGACACTTGACGGGATGAGCACTGGGTGTTATTCTGTATGTTGGTAAATTGAACACCAATAAAAAATTAATTTATTAAAAAAAAACAAATACATGCTACTATGGATAAACCATGAAAATGCTGTTAAGGTAAACAAGCCAGACACAAAAGGACAAATGTTGTAATAATCCTCCTTATATGAGCTACCTAGAATAATCAAATTCATAGAGAAAGAAAATAGAATAGTGGTTGCCAAGGGCAAGAGGGATGGGTGAATGGGGAGTTATTGTTTAACGAACATGCAGTTTCAGTTTGTGATCAGGAAAAAAATTCTGCAACAGGATGGTGCTGATGGTTGCACAACAATGTGACTATACTTAATGCCAACAAACTGTACACTTAAAAATGGTTAAAATGGTAAATCTTGTTATATGTATTTTATCACAATAAAAAAGTAAAATAGAAATATATGCTTTTAAATGGAAAAAAAAGGCTTCATTAAAAGTGTGAAATTCAGGTTTCAGAGTAAAATGCTTCAAATTTTAATGTCTGAGGATTCTTAAGTAAAACCAGGTGTTTAGGAGCACCTAGGTGGCTTAGATGGTTAAGCATCTACCTTCAACTCAGGTCAGGATCCTGGGATCCTAGTATAAAGCCCCACATCAGGCTTCCTGCTCAGCGGGGAGTATGCTTCTCCCTTTTTCTCTGCCTCTCATTCATGCTCTCTCTCTTGCTCTCTATCTTAAATAAATAAATAAAAACAAACAAACAAACAAACAAACAGGGCAGCCCAGTGGCTCAGCAGTTTAGCACCGCCTTCGGCCCAGGGTATGATCCTGGAGACCCGAGATCGAGTCCCACGTCAGGCTCCCTGCATGGAGCCATCTTCTCCCTCTGCCTGTGTCTCTGCCTGTCTCTCTCTCTGTGTCTCTCATGAATAAATAAATAAAATCTTAAAAAAAAAAAAAAAAAACAGGTGTTTAGTCCAACCCCTTCTCATCCAAGAAAAACAATATACCTGTGGATAAAGGAGAGATTTTGCTTACACTTCCATTAATTTCATTTCGTTCTACTATAAACACAACTTTGAGTAAGAAGTAGGAAGAAAAACATCAAGCCAAAAGAACTGTTAATCTCACAAGTAAATCTCACAAGTAAGATTGTATTTATCACAAAATTTAAATTCTTTTATTATGAAGGCAGAATAATTCAAAACAGGTTTTACGTTAGTAAGTTTAGGTTTTGTTTTTGTTTTTTTTTTTTTGTTTGTTTTTTAAAGATTTGAGAGAGAGTAGGGGAAGGGAAAAGGAGAGAAAGAATCTCTAGCAGACTCCCTAATGAGTGTGGAGCCCGACTCAGGGCTCAATCCAAGGACCACAAGATTGTGACCTGAGCCAAATCAAGAGCTGGATGCTTAACCAACTGAACCACCCAGACACCCCAAGTTTAGGCTTTTAATCTGTAAATATTAAACAACATTATATTTAACCTAAGGACTGAAATGTTATTTTAGTTGTGTTACCCCTTTTTTAAAAAGTGCAATTATTTGAAAAAAGATATAACAGATCTTAAATGTATACGTGGTTCTTACCGATTGACAAGGCTTCACAGCACAGTCTCTTCGCCCACACTGGCTAATATCATTCCAGAAAGGACATGGTCTCTTCAGGTTTACCTATAGGATAACAGAAAAGGTTATAAAAGTAAGAATCTTGAGATTATTATTGACAAGTGTTCAATTACAATGTTATAACCTGGTCATGCTATTAGCTGCAGTTTTTCTTTTTCTTCCATTTCCCAGCTGCCAAGTTCCAGTGATTGTATCTATGTGTACCTTATATAAGTAAATTGGTAGACTTGGTTAGAAAGACACAGACTGGGATGCCAGAGTGGCTCAGCGGTTGAGCATCTGCCTTCGACCCAGGGAGTGATCCTGGGGTCCCGGGATCAAGTCCCACACTGGGCTCTCTGCATGAAGCCTGCTTCTCTCTCTGCCTGTGTCTCTGTCTCTCTTTCTCTCTGTGTCTCTCATGAATAAATAAAATCTTAAAAAAAAAAAAAAAAGACACAGACTGCTACTAAACAGACTCCAAACAGAGGGCAACTAGGAGACAAAGTAGCTGATATCACCACTGCTGAAATGATATTCTTTTTTAGCAAGTAGCAGACAATTGTGAACTTAGATGATAATTACATATTCCAGTAATTACATTTTTCTAAACTCCTTCTGTAGTTATCTCAAGATAAAATATCACAAGTGACCAGTTAAAATAATACAGGTCAGAATAAAGTCATGCTTTTCAAAAAACTTAATTATTTTAGTTAACAGGAGTCAATCTAATATTTTAGAGAAGTATGAACTAGCAATTTTGATAACAATATAATAACTTCTGTTCTGACTTCAATTTAAACAACAAGTTTCCAACTCCACAGTGCAAAACTGATTTGTTGAAACTGAAAGTATCCAATGGATGGTTTCAGACCTATATTCTTCACTCTTGTAAACTGAATTTTAAATAATGGCCACAGTTTTGAAGCTCAACAATTCCTAAGAAAATGTAATTATCCATTTAAACTTTAAGTATTCTTGTGCAAAAAAAAATTTAAAATAAAAATACCTTGTAATATCTGAAGTAGTCACTTTCAAGAAGTTTTTGTAGTCTTGGGAAAAGCCTGTAGTTATTAAATCTATCGATGGTTTCAACATCACAGGTACAATCATCCAAGTAACCACTAACCTGTTACAAAGAAAATGAAAGAACACATCAAAATATCTTAGGTACAACAGGGTTCTTTTTCCTTACAAGGTTATGACTCAGCCAACTCTTATCCTCTCTCCTCTCCTCATAATTTTTGGAAATGGGGGGATCCCTGGGTGGCACAGTGGTTTAGCACCTGCCTTCGGCCCAGGGCGTGATCCTGGGGTCCTGGGATCGAGTCCCACGTCAGGCTCCCTGCATGGAGCCTGCTTCTCCCTCTGCCTGTGCCTCTGCCTCTCTCTCTCTCTCTCCCTGTCTCATGAATAAATAAATAAAATCTTTTAAAAATTAAAAATTAAAAAAAAATTTTCAGAGATGGGGTATTACAGTAATCTAATAATGCTACTGCTCTTACTATATACCTGGAGGAATGCAGTGGCTGTTTTTTGTAGGGTGTACTGAGCTCATCATCACACATGTGCCCACACATATATGTAGTGAGTTGATACCCTGCAGCTACTCTGTAACTCCCCCCAGGCCTGACTAGGTGTAGGCATCTAATCCAAACCAGGTCATGGTCCCTGCTCCAGGAATCTGGAATTGAGAATAAGAAGAGATGGCTCTTCCTAAATAACTAAACACAGACCATATGCTAGCATGTGAACTGAGGAACACATGAGCCAGTCAGCAAGATTTTAAGATACACAGTGAAGCAGAGACAGGAGATGGATTCGGTTTTCCCGCTCCTACTTCTCCCCATCTTTCTTGAAGCCCCAGTTGCATTCCCATTCTTGGCTCTCCTAAGACTCCATATTCCTACAATTCAATTGTCAGTCTTCCCTTTTAGTCTCCTACAAGATGTATAGTCAGGAGACAAGTTTAGTGAAGGTACAAAAAAAATACGGTATTTATAAGAGAAACAATAATTAACCAAAACGATCTAACTACTCCCAAATATTAGACCATGAAAATTTGTCTAGGTTAGAATTGGTGCTTAGAAATCACTTATCATTAGCAGCACAGATAGCAAATTGACCACAAAACCAATTCTGATCTTCAAATGCTTAAAAATAATTACAATCAGACAACGTTATCAGAAGTGAAACTAAAAGTCTCAGATGTTTATTTGGGGCTAGGCAAATACCTACAAAATTAATTATATATTGCTAACATGGTAATGCTGCAAGTAACAAATATGTCATGATTTAAGAATAGTAACTAGATTTTTTAAAAATATGTATATAGGGCATGCTATAGAAAAGAGGTCCTTATACTTTGGTCTGAATATTTGCAATATAAACTACTTTGGATTACATTTTAGGGAGGCTTGTCAAAAAATTTTTTTTCAAATCTACTGGTAAGTAAGCAAGTAATACTTCATTGAAATACCGAATGTAGGTGATTTCCCTCTGGAATACCTTCAGTACCTTTTAATTTTGAAATATTACAAAACAGTAATGTAAATTTTTCACCTAAGAGTGAATAGTTTTGGATGATGAGAGATAATACTTTGGATGATGACAGCAATATCTAACAGCTAAGATTCTGTACCGATTTGCCTAGTCTTACTTGTTTTGGACTAATTCAGGTTCCAGAAATCTGATCTACATATTTTGTTACTGTAATATCTACTTTCATTCCATATGCAAATTTGTCCTTATTTCCTGCTAAAAATTCTGAGTATACAATAATCTTTAGTTCCTAATTTGAGGTACTAACAAAACAAACGTGCTTCTAAAGAACCTAGCTGATTTGATTTTTTCACACCCCTTTTTTTCAAGCATTAAAAACAGAACTTCTAAGGACGTAAACTAGCTACTGTTTTTCCCCTTGGATACAAATCATTATACAAAGAAATAAGAGACACAAAGAATGCCAAGGCCAAAGGGATATATGCCAAATAGAGACATTAGGTCATAAGGAGAAACAAGCACACACAAACAAAAAAAAAAAAAAGAGAAAGGATTTGAAGCAATTATTTTTTCCCCCTTACGTATTTCATTTTAAGGTAAAAAATCTATCTTTAAAATTCAAGTTCGGGGGCAGCCTGGGTGGCTCAGCGGTTTAGTGTCGCCTTCAGTCCAGGGCGTGATCCTGGAGACCCAGGATGGAGTCCCACGTCGGGCTCCTTGCATGGAGCCTGCTTCTCCCTCTGCCTGTGTCTCTGCCTCTCTCTCTCTCTCTCTCTCACTCTTTCTCTGTCTCTCATGAATAAATACATAAAATCTTTTTAAAAAATTAAAAATTAAAATAAAATAAAATTCAAGTTCAGGCATCACCTCTTTTGGAAAATTCAAGTTCAGGCATACTCCTCTATCCCTGGAGTACCACTCAACTCCTGCTGGCTTAACTGTCCCTCCTATGTGCTCCCATGACACTCCACATACTCTTATATACAAATTACCTCACTATATTGGATTTATCTATTTCAATTCCTCCCTCTAGAGTTTAAAATCCTTGAGAGCAAAATCATGTTCATTCATTTTGTATTCTTAGTCCTTAGCACTGTACTTCTAGAAAGTACATAGTAGATGCTCAGTATTTATTTGTAGAACGGATATATGAACAAATGTTTCGATGAATGCTGTCCACGGTCACGCTCATTCACTGGAGACCAGCATCACAGTCTAATTATGACTATGAACTACCATGTCACCTATGGTGCTCGGTGCTCAGTGCTCCAGACCACACGAGCCCAAGTGGCAGAAATGCACTCAGAACAAGGAAAGCAAGCAGCAGAGGTAAATAACCCATTGTGTCCAATTTTTTACCAATCTATATACCTTAACTACAAAGGAAGCTAGAGGAGGCTCCAGACCATAAAGGAATGCAAGATGCATTCAAAGCAGAAATAGCTGATAGCCCAGAGACCTCAAAGAGAGAACACACGACAATAGTAGGCTTAAAAATCCTCAGACATTTACCTTAGAAATTGAGTAGGAGGTACTTCCACCAACAACAAAGTGTAGCAGGGCAGCTAAGTAGGTAGAGCAGGGGTAGAGGAGTTTCAATAGATGCAGAGGGCCCAGCAAAGGAGAGACATGAATACACCCAGAAACCCAAGACATGTGACTGTTCAGATAAGCTTGCCAACCTAATCCCTGAAGAGAAGTCTAGCAGGTACAGATGCCAGACCTAGTTCTAGAAACTAGAGAACCAGCATGTTACCAGAACAGAGTCTCTGGAGAAGGCAAAAAGAAGAAATCCAGTTAACAGGCCCAGAGCAAAATCTTGCAAACAAAGCAAAGCCTAGTCTCTAAGACCAAACGATGGGTACTGATCTGGAACAAGAATGACTTGCTACTGCTGCAGCTTTGGGATGTGCTAAGGCTGCTTTAATCATTGCCACATCATCTCCTAAACTGAAACAGAATTCTGACCCTCCCATAGGAATACCAATTCTATTTAATGCGCCCCCCCCCCTCCAGCCCCACCACACACATATACAAAGCGATTGATGCATGCTAAAACTTGAAGCTCGCTGCTCCAGGCAACAATCAGTCAAACTAATTTGGTAGGAGGCCAAACTAATAGGTGGCAAACAGAAGGCCCTTGCTGAGGGATGGTAGATAGAAGGACCAGGGAAGGCCTGACAGACATCTCCCAGTTTAAAGTCCAAGTCTCTAAAGAGCTGAAAAGCCTTTGAAGGCATTCTACTGCAGCCTCCCAAGCACACAGCAATGCCCTCCTATGCACTCTCAAGAAGGATGCAGTGTGTAACGGTGGTTAGCATGCAGGCCCTGGGGTCAGGCCTTCTTGGGGTTGAATCCCATCTCTTCTACTTATTAGTTATTGGTCTTACCCAAGTATTTTTTAGCCCCTCTAAGCCTCAGTTTCCTATCTGAACACAAAATGGCAATACTAATAGTTCCCATCTTTAAGAGTTGATATCAAAATGAAATGGCACAGAATAAATGGCCAGTAAATGTTAATCAGTATCATTAACATACCACTACTTAAATGTTTCTAGTGAAAGGAATCTTACTAGTCCCAAAGCAACCCACAACATTTTATTTGAGAGAGAGAGAGAGAAAATCACTCTCTCAAGTAGGGGGGGGTGGAGAGGCAGAGGGAGAGAGAATCTTAAGCAGGCTCTACCTCTGACTCAAGGCTCAATCTCACAACCCTGAGATCATGATATGAGCTGAAATCGAGTCAGATGCTTAACCAACTGAGCCACCCAGGTGCCCCTATGTTTTGTTTTGTTTACAAAGGAAAAAAAAGGCCCAGTTTGCAACTAAAATTTTTCAAAAATTTTACATCTGTAGCCTCAGTGGAACATAGAATTGGAGAGCCAACAGTCAGATGCAGAAGTAGTCTCAAACACTTTCTCCACGGACTCTGACTGGTTTGGACTAATTACCAAAATATAAAAGGCAAGAAAAGAAAATAACATAGGCCTGCTTGTTTACTATTTTCTGGTTACAGGTACTATTTACAATGAAAGACAAAAACAAAAACAAAACAAAAACCCACTTTCTAGTTTTCTTACATGCCAAAAACTTCCAGTCCTACCACAGACTATCATTTTTTCCCAACGCACTGTGAGAATATATTCCTCCTACCTGAAATATCTTTTAAAAGTGCTCAAACTGTTCTTTTTTTTGCAAAGACCTTTAGCTATGTTTAATTTTATAGTGGTTTGTGACTGTGAAAAAGAACATGAAAAGTACTCATTGAAGGAGCTGACTGAGACCTCTGTTAAGGAGAGCATGGAAACACTGAAGATTCTATACTGGGTAGTTGACACCACTCTAAGTGACATGGAGAGCTACAAGCTATTTCTGCTTTAAACCTTTAGTCTTTAGAACTTTAAATTATTGTTGTGACCCAAAGTGTAGTAACCAATGTAAAATATGCTTTGTTCCACACTCTTTGTTCAAAAGGGCCTGGAATGTATTAAGTGCTCAGAGTCAATGGACATCTCTCCAGTATAACCTGTTTCCAAGATTCCTCTGACTAAATTTTAATCCAGGCTTAGTTCCACCTCCCACACAACATATTATCAAGTGTTTCTTCTTCCATGGTCTGGCTACTCTGACTAACAAATAAAAACTATTTTTTAAATTGACCTCCACAAGACACTAGACAAGTAAATCTGCTAAAAATCATGTAAGCAGAGTGTATCTACAATGCACTACAAAAGAAAATAATTGATTTTGAAATAGCCATTTTGGATTATCTGAGTTACTTCCCTTTCATTAGCCTGATAGAAATTTACACCACTCAGATAAGTTGATCTGAGTGTTATTAGCACTAGCCATATTAAGATTAATAAAACATTTTGATGACATGGGAGTTTATAGACTTATTTCTAATTAATTTAAGTGAAAAACATGTCCATACTGCCTCCATATCTGGGCTTCAATATTTCTTCTGAGGTTATTTCTTTAAAATGCATCTTGGGATTCCATGAACAGGGATTAAAGTTCTGTTACATTCATCCTAATGCTACATAATGGGTAAAAGGAAATACAAAACTCTGTCAAAAGCAAAACAAAACAAAACAAAAAAAACAAATAAAAAAAGGAAAACAAGAAAGTCTGAAGAGTCTCCATTTATTTCAACAAATATTACAATTATTATTTTGGTTTAAAGACAGGGTGGGTCATGATCTTTATAAAAATTACATAGACTTGCACACCCCAAAAGGTAAAAAAGACCAATTTCTGTGCAAAAAAAAAAAATTTTTAGGGATGCCGGGTGGCTCAGTGGTTGAGCCTCTGCCTTTGGCTCAGGGCATGATCCCAGGGTCCAGGGATCAAGTCCCGCATCAGGCTCCCCGTGGGAGCCTGTTTCTCCTCCTGACTATGTTTCTGCCTCTCTCTGTGAGTCACTCATGAATAAATAAAATCTAAAAAAAAAAAAAAATTATTTTAAAAAGAATGATGATTTTAAAAAAGTGGGGAGGGCAGCCCAGGTGGCTCAGCAGTTTAGCGCCTGCCTTCAGCCCAGGGCGTGATCCTGGAGACCCAGAATCAAGTCCCACGTCAGGCTCCCTGCATGGAGCCTGCTTCTAACTCTGCCTGCTTCTCCCTCTGTGTCTCTGCCCCTCTCTCTCTCTCTCTCTGTCTCATGAATAAATAAATAAAAATCTTAAAAAAAAAAAAGTGGGGAACTATATATAAGGAAGCGTTATAAGTCCCAGGCAATTTATCACTTATTTGCAGCAACTAACACTGAAGCATTGTTATCAAAATAACTTACAACATACAGTGAAAATGGTTTTGGTAGGATTTGATGTCAAGAGGCATATGCAGTAATGGACTAACCTTAAAGATTCATTTGGAGCCATCAACCCATCTGAAAGATCAATTCCAGAAAAACATGCAAATGGCTAAGCAGAATGATTGAAAGAATATACTCCAGCTAGCACACATCCTGAATTGTAATTTCCGGGATGCCTGGGTGGCTCAGTGGTTGGACGTCTTCCTTTGGCCTAGGGCATGATCCTGGAGCCCCGGGATTGCACCCTACATTGGGCTACCTGCAAGGAGCCTGCTTCTCCCTCTGCCTGTGTCTCTGTCTCTGTTTCTCTTATGAATAAATTTTAAAATCTTAAAAAAAAAAAAGAATCCTGTATTATAATTTCCCTAACACTTCTTGAGTACCAATTATGTACCAGGCTCAGTACTCTGTAGTATCAAGAAATGGAACTAAATTTTTAGTTTATTTTTTGATCTCTCAAAACTTATTCACAATAGGCCACAATAAATGCTTATTGAATTTAATCTATTAAAAAAATTTTTAGGGACGCCGGGTGGCTCAGGGCATGATCCCAGGGTGCAGGGATCAAGTCCCGCATCAGGCTCGCCGTGGGAGCCTGTTTCTCCTTCTGACTATGTTTCTGCCTCTCTCTGTGTGTCACTCATGAATAAATAAAATCTAAAAAAATATATATATATATATTTTAAAAAGAATGATGATTTAAAAAGTAAAGCTTTGTATCTTTTACTTCAATAATTTTCTAAGGCCAAATAGGTACACATGCTGCTTTGGCTCAATTTAGAGTTGATAGTCTGTTAACTGAAACCCTACTACCGGGCACCCATGAAAGAGTGTGATGAGGGGTGTTGATGTGGTAATTCAAGGCAGGAGTGGTAAGAGAGATTGGCAACAGGAAGGGAGAAAGACAATTAACAAAACGGTCTCCACAGAACTTTCCTGCTACTTGGGTACTGCAAAGAGAATGAGAGATTTTAATTTGTATTTCTAAACTCTAGGTCAAAAGTTAGTCTTTTGACTAACTATTGTCTAGCAATATTTATGAACTTTTTTTTTAAGATTCTATTTTTTAAGTAATCTCTATACCCAACTTGGGGCTCGAACTTACTACCCTGAGATCAAAAGTGGCATGCTCAACCACCTGAACCAGCCAGGTGCCCCTACTAGTTTTTTAAAATGCTTAGGATCTCAAGCTCCAAAGAACATTATTCACTAAATTGTTAAGTTCTTAAGGACAGGGATCATACCACAATTATTTCTGTATCACAAACATTCAGGTCAATGTACACATTGCTTATAAATGTTTACTGAGGGCAGCCCTGGTGGCTCAGCGGTTTAGCGCCGCCTTCAGCCTAGGGCCTGATCCTGGAGACCTGGGATCGAGTCCCACGTGGGGCTCCCCGCATGGAGCCTGCTTCTCCTTCTGCCTGTGTCTCTCATGAATAAATAAATAAAATCTTTTTTAAAATAAATAAATAAATATTTACTGGATGAGAGATTTGAATTTCAGAAATTACTGAATTTCCACCATTCATCTCCCCTAATCTTTTCTTCCATCTTTATTTCTGTGTGTCTCTCATTTCTGTATACATCTATGTCTATATGCTTGTCCAATTTTCTCGTCATATCTATTCATCACTTGTCCTTTCTCCTCCTTACCCCCATCTCTTCCATTATTGACCATAACGGAAAACGTATTTTTATTTCAATCTACTGAATTGAGACTGATGGTTTCTGTTCTTAAGTTGATTTAAATAGACCATTTAAAATTTTTCTTGGGACACCTGGGTGGCTCAGCAGTTGAGCATCTGCCTTTGGCTCAGGATGTTATACTGCGGTCCTGGGATCGAGTCCCACCTCAGGCTCCCTGTATGGAGCCTACTTCTCCCTCTGCCTATGTCTCTGCCTCTCTCTATGTCTCTCACAAATAAATAAATAAAATCTTTCATGCAACCCTCAGTATATAATTTTTTAACGATGATTCCAAAAAGAAAAACAGCCAGTCCTGTTCTGAAAGCAAAAGAAAGGGACCTAACAGATTTTTGTGTTGGGGAAATATTCGAATCTTGAAAACATTTTAAGAGGTGGGAAGTGGGAGGCTTAAATACTAATCAGAAGAAAAAATTTAAAAAAAATTTAAAACTCCCCAATTTTAATCAAATATCTAAAAAAGTTATAGGGGGGATAAAAGTTGAAAAGCTCAACAGGTACTATTATTTCATTATTTAAAAATCCAAAATACAGTTGAAAATGTTATATTGGACATCTTCCAACACTAACTTATTTAAGTCTTTTACTTCAACTTTTCTTATGTGCAAATGTTTGTACTTTGTGTTATGTTGTATTCTTCCTTATAAGTACTTGATGGCGTGCAGCTGCAATCCCTGAAGGTAAAGGAGCTTTTCAATCTTAGTCGTAAAGCAGCAATTTCCTTTCAACTCTCCTACTCGTAGCTAGATAACATCTCAACTCTCAAATCACTCAGCAAAGCAACAAAACGCAAGAATACGAAGCAGTGAAAGAGATAGTTCTTCCCCTCATAATATTGGTTTATTTCTTCCTCCCATAATATTTAAAGCTGTTTCTTGACTCTGTGAAATAGTAGCATTGCCCCTACACATAAAATGTTATTTCTGATCATTAATCGTAAAATCCCCTTAAAAGGAAAAAACTTGGATGCCTACCCTCAAATTTGTATAAAATGTAATTTTTTACCAACAGAGGCCAACCAAAACGTGACTTTAATGATATTAAAATACAGGACACTGCATATCCAAAAACCTCTAAATTTCTTTGAATTTTTTCTCAAGGAACCTCCCTCTCTAAAAAGGGGGGGGGGGAGATCATAATAAGCTTGTACTTAAACTTGTGCACTGAGGAATAAGGCTCATCCTCCCAATTCAGACCAGCCAAACGGGTGTCACGTTAAGGGAATCTCATCACATTTTGGAAAAAGAAAGGACCCAGAGGGCGAGGAGCCAGGGGGCAAGCGGCGGCCCTCAGGACACAGCGCAGCTGGGCTTGGACACAGAAAAGCCACACGAAGCCCTGAGATCTGAGACCCTGCGCCCTGCACACCCAACACCGTTCCGCGTCAAACTGGAAGCCAGGAAGACCCAGGTTCTGCTAAAACGGCCAATATTAAGTGCGCGTGCACAGTGTGCACAGTGTGCACGCCCTTCCCGGGCAGGGAAGACCAACGACGATGCAGAAACCAACTCGGTGACGACCTAACGGCGCGCGGCCACCCCGGCCCACACCGCGCCCGGCGAGCTCCGGAGCACAGGCGCCGGGGGTCGCCCGGGAGGGCGGAGTCGCGGGGGCTCTCCCGGGGTCACCTGCCGGCGCGCGGCACCCAGCGCAGGGCGGAGCGGGCAGCCCCGGGAGCCGCCGCGCGGCCGCGCACAGCCCTCACCTGGCAGAAGCACCGCTGCGCCGCCGTCTCGGGGGGCCGCTGCTCGCCGTGACTCGGGCCGAGCAGCCACACGGCCCCCACGAGGCCGATCAGGAAGCCCCAGCCGCGGCCCATAGCCGCTCCGGCCCGCCGCACCTCCCGGCCCCGGCTCTCGGGCGCAGGCCGCGCGTCCGCAGAAGAAGCCCGCGCGGGCCGGCCCCCGGCGGCGCCCCACCCCCCGGCCGCCTCCCGGGCCCGCCCCCGGCCCGCCCCCGGCCCGCCCGGCTCGCCCGCGCGTCCGCGGCCGCCGCCTCCCGGCAGAGCCTGCGGACGTGCCTCGGCGCCCGCGCGGCCAGCCCGGGGCCTCGGGGCGGCTTCCTTTCCCCGCGTGAGGCTGACGCACGAGCCCGCTTCCCGGCGCGGCTCCGCCCCTCGGGTGCGGCCGCCCCGGCCCCGCGCGCGAACCGGGGTCCTTCCCGCTGCGAGGGCGAGGGCGAGGGCGAGGGCGAGGGCGAGGGCGAGGGCGAAGCGGGAGGGGTCCGAGTGTCCCCGCAGGGCCCCGGGCCCCGGGCCCCGGGCCCCGCCCCCGCCCACCCCACCCCCACGAGGCAAACCGCACGAATTGCGCGTCCACAGTGCCCCCGCCTGCCTTAGAGCTGAAAGGGACACAAGGCTGCACGGGTAGATCAGAGTTTCCAGGAGTTAGGTCGAAAGGGCAAAGAGAAGCAGGTGAAGTTACTTACTTTTAATATATATAACACATGTATTAAAGATTATTATACATTATGTATTTTATATATTATACATTTAATATAATATATATTATATATAATGTATTATATATTTAAATATTATTATATATAATATATATATTTTAAAGATTTTATTTATTCATGAGAGACACAGGCAGAGGGAGAAGCAGGCTCCACGCAGGGAGCCCGACGTGGGACTCCATCCCGGGTCTCCAGGATCACGACCTGGGCCGAAGGCAGCGCTAAACCGCTGAGCCACCGGGGCTGCCATTAATATATTTTATTTAACCCACTATGTGCAAAACATTTCGAAATATACTCAATATTAGGTTATTCATAAAATATTTTACATATTTTTTAAATCTTTGAAATCTGGTGTGCATCTTATGCAAACTAGCCGTATTCCATAGTCAAATGTAGCGAGTGGCGGCTGTGTCCGTCAGCACAGGTGGAGGCTACCCTCTCATCTCATAGGAGGAAACAGGCCCAGGGTGGAGGGATGACTTGAGCAAGGGATGAGCTGGTCCTCTGATTCCCAGCCATGGGTCTAGCCTAAAAGCTTTTTTTTTTTTTTTTTTTTTTTTTTTTAAGGAGAAATTTTCATAGTGAAACTGGAAAGATCCCAACATCTTATCTTACACATTAAAATATTTCAAATTAAAAAAAATAAATATTTCAAATTATCTTTTTGTTTGGTATGTCATATTAAAAAAAATCATTTAATGAAGTAGCTTTAAGATATGGTAGCCCCCCCCCCAAAAAAAAAAAAAAAAGATATGGTAGGCCCCAAATAGGTATTACCTCTGTTTTCCAGCTGGGAAAAATAAGCATAGCAAGCTTATATATGTTACTCATAGGAATATGTTATTCAAAGTTACATGGTACACTAGAGGTGAAACCCAAACTCAGATATTTCTTTTTCTAAGATTTTATTTTTATTTGACAGAGAGCAAGAACACAAGCAGGGGGTGTGGCAGGGAGAGGGAGAAGCAAGTTTTCCAAGAAGCAGGGAGCCTCATACCAGGTTTGATTCCAGAACCCTTGGATCATGACCTGAGCTGAAGCAGATACTTAACTGACTGAGCCACCCAGACGGTCCCACAAACTCAGACATTTCTTAACTTCAATGCCCATAACCTATGCTCTGCCCATCATTTGCCAAGTGAACTGACACATAGTAAAATGTCATCAACCATCTCAGATTCTGGTGGGCCTGAGAAGCTCTGAGTCTAATATCCACAATATTTGACATTTTCTTATTAATCCAATCTCCCCTCTTTGCCTAGGAAGTTCTTTTTCATTATACCTGTACTGATCCGATCTGTCTCTCCAGGGCCAGACCCAGCTCATTCATTCCCTCTTCCACATGGTCTTCCTTGTTTCTTCTTCACGCATTTCCAGTCTCTAAATGAATTTTAATTCAACAAACTTACTCTATGCCAGACTGAGCCTGACATTAGAGAGATGAAAGGCCCAGTCCCTGCATGTGGAGGGATACCCCCACAGAATTTAGCACGTGATCCTTTATGATGTTTCTACCACTGGATTGTAATCTATTTAAACTCTTTAAGCAGGGATTATGTCTCAAACATACTGTGACTCTCACTCAGTATCTTAACAAAGCTTCTCTTTGCATGTGTTTGTACAATGAAGGAATATTTTTTCATATACAGTATTAATATCTGAAGATTATACTATCAAAAATAAAAGACTATGAAAATGGAGAAACTAAATGAATAAAGCCTAAAATTGCAGAAGGAAGCAATGTGATCATGAATCTGCTCTGTATTTCACCCTGATGCAATAGGCCTGTAATTTGGGAGAGTTTAAAAATAAGAATGTTCTCAGGATGAAAGCTCCATTCTGAAGATTTGAACTGATGCCAGCAAACTTGTAATCAGAAACAATCACCATATTAAGACGATTTAATTTATACTTTATTGCTTTTTCAGCTTTAAGAAAGTTTAATTGACTAATAAAATTGTAAGATATTTAAAGTATATGTCATGATGATTTGACTAGATCATTGTCAAATGATTCTCCTGCTGGGTTCATTAACACATCTATCATCTCACCTATTTACTCTTTCTTCTTCCTTGGTGAGAACATTTAAGTTTAACTCTCTTAGTAAATTTCAATTATACAAACAATGTTACCAACTATAGTCACCATATTATACATTAGATCCTCAGAGCTTATTCACTTTATGTTTGAAACTTTGTGCCCTTTTGCCTGTTTCCCTATTTCTCCCCCCCACTAGCCCCTGCCAACCACTTTTCTACTCTCTTGTTTCTATGACTTTCACTTTGACTTTTTTTTTTTTTAATTTCACATGTAAGTAATACCATGCAATGTATTTGTCTTTCTCTGTCTGGCTTATTTCACTTAGCATAATGCCCTCCAGGCCTATCCATGGGTAGCAAACACATGTGGCAGGATTTCCTTCTTTCTCACAGCTGAATAATAGTCCATTGTATATATGTATACCACATCCCCTTTATCCATTTAACCACTGCTGCACACTTAGGTTGTTTCCATACTTAGGCAATTGGGAATATGATGTAATGAACATGGGAGTGCAGATAATCTCTTTGAGAGAATAGTTTCATATACACTTAGAAGTGGGATTGCTACATCTTACTTTATTTTCTTGATAATTACGATGTCTCCTTTGGGCTTTGTAAGGGACTTTAGAATGTGTAAAATACAGTTTTATACACATGGCATAACTACCAGTGATATTTATTTCCCTGAGAATCCTTCAAGTTGGTCCTTTGTGTGAGTTTACTTTTCCTACTCTGCCTGCTTTGGCAATCATCTCACCTGTGTTACAGCCTATGAAATAACTGGTTAGTCATTCAGTAACTATTAAGGAGCACCCACAGGGCACATAGTTCAACCTTTGCTTTCCAAAAGCCCAGCCTCCCACCTATTACACCTTAGCTAAACAGCATTACATTTTTTAGAGATGAACAAGGTCACAACCTTGTTATTCTAATACTAGTGATTATAACAATAACATAAATTTAGTGTACACAGCATTTCTTGATGGAATTCTGATTACCTGTGCAAACAACAGCTATTATTATTTTTTTTAATGACCAAAGCAGGAAATAGCTTGAGCCCAATTTCTGAAAATGAGACATGGCGATTTCTGTAGGAAGCTTCTCAGTACCTAAACATTTTCTGGCAGAGAATAGGCTGAAAGGAAATAATTTAAAAGGAAAAAATTTGCTCAAGGAAAAGGAATATCATGACAAGAGGAAGAAAGGCTAAGTCAAAATCTAAAGGTTTGGTGTTGATAGTTGATTAATACTAGTATCCATTGAATATAAATGTGCAGATAAAACATTGCTAGAAGTTTCTCTCAAGATGCTTGAGATTATTTGAATTGGGGGAGAAATGCCACCTCAGCTCTATCTTTACCTCTTTTCCCTCATATTCCTGGAAGAACAAGCTACATATAGTAGTAACAGACTTATTAACTTCCCATTTACACCTAACCCCACTGCGCAGTCTGGTTTCTAACTCTACCTCCTATTCCTCTATACCTCGCCTTCTTATGGTCAAATCTAATTACCATTTTCATGAGATAATGAAATCTCTGCTGCATTTTGACAATGCTGATTCCACCCTCCTTCAATTTCCTATGCACCAAACACTTCAGATTCTCCTTACACTTCTCAAATATTATATAACTGTCTTCTCTTTCCCCCAGCCTACCTCTATGATGTGAGTGTTCCCCCAGGATACTATCTGCTGTCCAGTGTTCTTCTTCTATACTTGCCCCTAAAGAAACTTGCCCAGTCTCATGATTTTAAATACTCCTCCCTGCTGATGATTCCCAAATCTATTTTTCCAATTCAGGTCTCTCCCTCGACCTTCAAATTCCAACTGCCTATTGGACACAACCAGCTGCTTCCCTCAGAACTGTTTGGTCATACCACCATCCATATCTAGACACATAGAAAGCAGGAAGCCACCCTCAGTTTCTCCTTCTTTTTCACCAAAGATTGGTTGATCTATTAGTCAAGTCCTGCCAGTTCTTTCTTCAGTTTAGTCCCTCCTCTCCTTCTTTATGATTAAGGACTTAGTTTCAGCCCTTATTGTCACTCACCTGATTTATTGTCACATTTTCTTAAATGATCACCCACTCTCACCTATCAAAACACAGCCTCAGTGCTAGCCTGATTTCTCAAAAATATAAGTCTGACCTACATCACAACTCTGTTTATAATCTCCAATGCTCCCAACTATCTGAGATATCAAATTCAAGATTCTCAGCATGGCATTTAAGGTCCCCATGATCTGGCCTCACCTATTTTTCCAGTTATATCTCCAATATCTCTCTGTCTCATAGTAACTGAACTATTAACAATTCCCCATACAGGGGGTACCTTGGTAGCTCAGTCAATTAAGCCTCTGCCCTTGGCTCAGATCATGATCCCA